TGTCGGATACCTTAGCTAGTACAGTAATAATAATAAAAGTAATAACAGTACACAAAAGTGAAATATAAAATTGTTATTCTGGAACTGGTTAAGAAGAAAAGCATTTCTTGATCATAATCTGCAGTTGATGACTTTATTGGGAAAGAATATACAGTACATTAACAGTATAATAAATCTAAAGGGACATGAAAATATTTTCTCAGCGTTACATATTTTCAAAGTGACATTTGACAATGTCTCTACACACCGCGATTTACCAATTATACATAAATATCAAGAATATGTGTTTTTTATAATATTTTACTTTCAAGCCCAAGAAAATGCTTACACGAGAAAATAATGTGCTACCACAACGCGCGAGTTTTTGACACAGCAGAGAAGACATAAAAATTCTTATTACAGTATGTACCTTATTAATTACAGTAACTGCCCAGAGGTTTGCAGCACAATACAAAAATATCCAGAACTCAAGCTGGGAATTAATAGACAAAAATTACCTGACATGTTGACTGTGGAAGAAGACACCACGCTTCAGAGAGCGTCACCTGACTGGTCATGATATACAGCACATGAGAAATGGCATTTGGGGGATATTCAGTTGCGTATTGTGTTTGTGTAAAATGAACGGCACTTGAGACAACACTGATATGTTTCCCTACTTCGTGGTTAAGAACTTACCAGTAGCCAGACAAATGTTCATTTTGGGTGTAGGTGTTGCCATTCAGGATCAAATACAGCTCTGACTCACTAGTGGGAACGTGCTAATGTGTTTAATATTTAGTTCCCAAATATAAAAGCAATATGGCCCAAAAGAATTGAACAAAAAAATTATAACACAGAAATGTTTCAATATGGTTTGGCATAATGAAATAAAATACCTTTTGAATACACTGCATGAAAATGAGGTGAAGAAAGACTCATAACTTCAGGAAAAAGACAACATACCGATATGGTAAAATTACCGTAATGGTTATAACTTTCACGAGAAAATGGAAAGCTATGAGGAAACAATTGCTACTGATACTACCTCAAAAGTCACCCTTGGTAATTTCCCATCTAAGGAACCACTAATGGAACAGTCCCCTCCCAAAAAGTATAGTTAGCCACGGGGGTCGATGTGATTCTAGGCTTTCCAAGCACTGTTACCTGACTTGTTTCTGAACGGTTGGTACAGTATTTCCACATCCGTGACCTTTGAGCATGAATGAGTATAAACGTTTTCTAGCGACATGAATCCCCTTGAGGCTTCAGATCGTATATTACATGACTTGGGAGTGGATGTCATAAATGGATACCAACACCATGCCAGTCATCATTGGGATCTTACATCAAATGGAGCAAGGAATTATCGGGGAGTCATTGCAAGATGTGAGAGGTGTTATCATTGCTCTTCATAATGAGGGTATAGTACATTATACTGTGAGTGAACCCACAGTATTATGATGGGTTAGGTGCCATGAAACAACTGATGCCACACTGAAACTCACAACCACATATGTCTTACTATTGTCTGCAAGTCCCTTGGTTTGCAATCTTATTTCGGTGTTAAACCAATGCAATTTACTGTATCAATAACATGGCAGATCCCATATAGACTGATATATTGTATACTGCTGTAGTTGTTCACTCTAATATCAAATACTACTTGCTTAGTAATTCTTCATAAATCTGACATATTGTGAACAACATGTGTAGGCATATTGTGAAACTCAGTATGAATGAAAATCCATTAGTTCAACGACGTAATGGTGAAATGTTTGTTTTGAGGTATCATTCTTAGTTATGATGTTCCGAAGCATTTTTTTTTTTTTTTACAGGGATCAGCCCACCGGGCACAGGTCACTGACCCACATCGGGGCCTGGGAGGGGTGGGGGGTGCTATAATAATAATAATTAATAAAAAAAAAAATAATAATAATAATAATAATAAAACAACTATGATAATAATTATAACACTGTAATTAATAATAATAATAATAATAATAATAATAATAATAATAAAGAACCATAAAGAAATACAAAAATGAAAAAAAAGATTAAGAGTGAGAAACAATTATATTGTGTTGTCAATAGTACGAGAAACAATTGAGACCCTGCAATTTTGTGCAAATGAGGCAGAAATTCAGATCAGCAACCTGGGACTTGGTCACAATTTTTGTGATGCCATATATTTCAGTGTTATTGTAATTATCAGTCAGTGGCTTGTTTACATATGCCTTGCTTCTACCCAGCAAGATACATACATTAGTATAGCTTCATGGATTTCTTGTTATATTGAAAGTATTTAGTATCCCCAATCCTACCCCTATCTCTAGCTGTTGCTGATATGACAAGAAGTCGTACCAACTTATGAAAATGATCTGGGGATCATATCAAAGCATTTTGTCTACCGTTTCAAATTTTAGCGATGGAAAACCTAACAATAGTTTTTAGGGGGTCTGTATATGTCTCTGAGTGGTAATAACAAGTTTATTATCAATCCATCCAGCACTGTTAGAGGTCTTTTGTTGAAAAAAATTTGTCAACACATGCAGGAGGTTATGTCTCCAGAGGAGACACTGGCTCTGAAGTAAAAAAATTTTTATTATCATTTCTGAGTCTCACACAAGTGACCATCAACACCTAAGTGTTTAAGACTACAATGATCATCAACACAAGTCTAGCACAATGGTGTTCAACATCAGACATTAACACTACATGTCACAACTACTACTGCAGTTCCTCCATCATTAATCTTGGTTGCTGTGTTAGACTAACACCAAAATCCTCCCTCTCATGCTCATGTCACATTCAATCATTTTTGTTCCAAATTACACCACTACAGCTACACCACTAAGCTGTATGGTCTAGTAATTATCTCAAAAACTGGCTTTATATATAATCATTACTCCACCTTTGTGTGGGGTGGATGAAGGGGGGTGAAGAATCCTCAGAGAAAGTGGGGTAGTATGGGAGAAGGTAAAAGAAAAGTTCAGAAAGACTGAAAAACAAAACCTGTCAATGTAACCATCTAACCTACAAGAAACACAGACATATGAAACCAATCTCCATTGGCCATTGTGTATAGTGACAGCTCTCAAGTGTCACAATAATGTACGAAGTTAGTGATCATACAGCAAGTTAACTCTATTTAGTTATGTTAACCAAAAGCTCATATTGCTTGTAAGTCACCAATTATATACTTTATCATTTAAATAAGTCATTGGTATGAATTCATATATATATATATATATATATCTATATATATCTATATATATCTATATATATATATATATATAAATAAATCATTGTAGGTGCGCATGAACCACATATATGCTGATAACCACATAAAAAACAAGAAAACAAAGTTTCCAGGCGCTTTTGTGTAATTCACATCTTCAGAGGTGAGTACAGACTGTACTCACCTCTGAAGATGTGAATTACATGAAAGCGCTTGGGAACTTTGTGTTTTCTTGTTTCCTTGTGGGTATATATATATTATATTTATTTCCACATAGACATACTGTACAACATATAAATACAGTATACATTGTGGTTGAACCTCAGTAATCCAGTAGGGTTGGAATGAAGCTGTTGCCAGATTTTGGCATTTTCCATTGGTTAGAGAAATTAAAGTGTTCCCAACACTTTATGTTGTTCCAGTATTTCCACTTCTGTTCCAAATTTTGGGTGTTTCTCAGATTTTAGAATTTATGGGAATACTGTACAGTACAGTGAGTCTCGATAATTCGCGGGTTAGTTACCAGAAGACATCGTGAATTATCAGATCGCAGGAATTCAATGCCACACAATAACTCATCAGGAGTGGAGTTTTTTTGTTTTTTTCTGGTGAAAATTTATTACTTTACGATATTTTTTATCTTGATAACAAACAAACTTAAATAATATGGAAATTATGGTGAAATTGCACAATGTTGTATTAATCAGGTTGGAGGTGTGCGCTTGGCTTGAGAACAGGAGAGGACGCTCAGTCCACCAAAATTCACAAACTACTTTTCATTTTTATTTTTTTTTATTTTATAGTTTTATATTTCCTTTATTTAAAAGTCACATTAGAGCACTGAAAAGATATTCATATTATTTTTTCTTTATTTTCAAGGTAAATTTGAGCAATGGAATTATATTTCCTCAACTTTTATGGTTTCTTATGTAAACAAACAATGCGGCAGTTGGCACTCGCTGTGAATTATAAATATTTGACCATAAAATTTTAGAGAGGTAGTAACGGGTACAGTACCTGCGAATATGTAATTCACAAATTATCGAGACGCCATTGTATTATAATTTAGGCTGTGTTTTGGAGGATAGCAGAATAAAGATTGCTAGATTATTGAGGTTCCACTGTATTCATACATTGACGTACATACACTATATACATTGATACATAACATACAAACATATATGCATGTCAAATCTCACTTTATCATTCAACCAAGCTGGTGGTTGAAGGTTATGTCAGACCAAAATTATATTAGTCAACCTCATTTTAATTTACACAATAAATAAAGAAGTTTTCAAAGTTTTACAATAATTTAACTAAAGAGAATATATTACTGTACTTTAGCATTTTCAAAATATTAATAGACAGTTATTTAGTTATTAGAGTTAGTGGTGTTCAGTAGTTTAAGTTTCTTATTTCAAGAGGCTAATGAATCTAAATTATTACTTTCAATCAGGCAATTACTTTATTTTACATATTCATAAAGAGGACAAAAACAAATAAAAGCGAGTTTTTTAATTGTTTAAGTCGACTTTTTACTCACTTGGCCGGCAGCAAAGTTGAGAATTCTTACCTGTTCAAATTGATTTTTCCATACAATTATTAGTGAGCAAGTGAATCTAAGTTTTCATTATACTGTACAGTATATATATATATATATATATATATATATATATATATATATATATATATATATATATATATATATATATATATATATATATATATATATATATATATATATATATATATATATATATATATATATATATATATATATATAGTACTGCACATAAAATGTGTGAACAGTACATAGAAATAAAAAAATTTAATTAAGGCATGTGCATAAAATGTGCAAACATTTTAGCATACAGATGGAGAGACTGGCCAATGTGTATGTTACATGAACAAGTCAAGAGGGGGGCATATAACAGTTAACACCAGATCCTGGCATTTTCAAAACCAGCACTGTTCTCCACCCATATCTAACAAATATTATCTTGCTATAATAGTCTACAGTGCAAAACTTTTTGTGCCTGTAGGTGGACCTCACTAGGGTGGATTTGATGGTGTTACTTTGGGACGAACTGAGGTACCAGTAAGTAAACTGTGAAATATTTATACCTTACACTGCAACACTTAGTCTCTTGAGACTCACACAATAAGCTTGATAGAGATATTGCACTTGATTTTTACTTAAAAAAAAAGCATCAAATTTCATGTTGATAAAGACACATTACAAGCCACACACAACAGAGAAGCCCCCTTAAAAAAAATCTACTTAATCAATACAATAAATCATTTAACACATAAAAAAACAGTTAAGACTACTGTATTTACAGTCAAATTGCATGGAAGATAGAATAAATGTGTTTACTTTAGTCTGGACTATTTGGACTATTTTCTGAGTGTAGTGATTTGACCAGTTCATTGTATTCATCCATGTTGGCTTCAAAAGTCAAAAGCTGCTGTGTGAGGTCACTGATCTCATCCTCCGGTGTGTCAGCAAACATGCGGAGAGGTGGGGCACTCTTGCACTCCTGGTAGAATGCTCCTAAGTCATTACCCGTGTCACATATCCCAGCAAATGGAGGTTTCTGAAAAAAAAATTTTTTTTACCTTTACCAGGTACAGGAGAGAAGCATTGTGAACTTACAAGCAAAATTTTAACATCATATTGAAAATCTCAACCATATATAGAAAAGTTGATAACAGTGAACAATGCCAACAGCCATCATGTGCATTCGTAGTGTCTCAAGTGTAACGTCAGCTATTGGTGAGCAGCAAAGACATTCAATTCCCATTTCATGTTTTTGGAGTGCTTAGTATGGACATCTTAGTACAACAAGTAACAATCATAACAATAACAGCTCAGTCAGTATAGTACTAATACTTTGAATTTGATTTTACCCCCATTTTAAGAGAAAATATAGCTACAGTCGAAAAATACACTTAAGATGTTTTTTTTCATAGGTATTCCCTGCTGAAATATGAGGGTCCCCTTATATGCCATAAAATACAGTAGTTTCAAAATTAAGAAAGGAATATGTAAAACTGAAACAAAGAAAAGTTACTGAGGAAAAGAATAACTAATGCAGTACTCTGGGATGTTGACCCTTGACAAAGAGTTTTATCCTACAGCCAAAAATGACTGAAAGATTAATGGTGGACGTACAACAAATCACTCTTTACTAAACAGCATTAGTTCTCTTTTTATAATTACAGTCATCATTCCTTATAACGGAATTCCTTTTAGCAGAAGTTTGATTTTGCGGAACTAATTTGTGCCAGTATTTGCAATCGGTCAGTTCCCTGCTGCACCTCACCACAGATTGTTGTCGTCTCCAAGTTTTTTGTATTCTCCCAGCATGTGTATGTATATCATTGTCACCATGCTTAAAGTGAGTATTAAATGAAGTGGGTATTAAATTAAATTAAGTGACGAGAAGGGTAAGAGAGTGCATACATCAAATTTATAAACTAGAAATTTTTATTAGTTATTATGCTAATATCAAGTACAGTTGTACCCCGCTTTACGCGGTCAATTGAACCCACAGGGTACCGCGTTAAGTGAAAACCGCGTTAAGTGAACAACAGAACATATGGGATTAATTCCAATAGAGACTGGCCCGACCCCCAAACTCCACTTTTTGACGACACACAACTGTGTTGTAGTAAAAATTTTATCTTAACTTTATGATGGTATGAACAAACAAGTAATATAGAAGAGGTTAGGTTAGGAAAAATAAAGGTTAAGTTAGAAAAATAAAGGTTAGGTTAGGAAAACTAAAAGTTAGGTGTAACACTTACGTTAGTAGAAGAGATGGGTCGGGGATGGAGGCGGAGGGAGGGAGGAGGGAGAGGCGAGGCAGGTGGTGGCGGGTGGGGCGAATCTAAAAATAGCGTCTCGAGCCGGACACTCTGCGCGTATATGGGTAGATGAACCGCGTTAAGTGAAAGTTCGGTTCTGGCGAGGCACCGCGTATATGAGAAATCGCGTTAAGTGAAACCGCGTAAAGCGGGGTACAACTGTACAGTATAAGTATGTGCAAAATAATAAGTTGTGTACATTTGGTTGGTTGGGAATGTTTATGTTGGGCTTGTGGCCTCGTTGGGCATTTCTGCCAGTTACAACAGTTGTCAGGTGGCTGACAACCCGCTCTTGTTATTTTTATGAGTGGTTTCTGACAGTCTACATACTGCCAAACCACTTAGTACCCGAGAATGAAGATCACCTAATATCATGTAAAATACTCAATATAGAATACTCAGTAATAGAAATCCCCATAACACATGTTGCCAGTCAGCTGTGAGATGGCTATGCACGTTGCCATTGATTACATGTAATGAAACTAAAAAAGCTGTTGAAAAATCATTTCAATAGTACTCTAATGTGACTTAGAAATAAAGAAAATATAATATAAAACTGTAAAAAATGATGAAAAATGGAGAGCATGGGCGTGTATGTGTGGGAAGTAAATGTATGTGTGGAGGCAGTGGGCAGTAACTGCATTGCCAGCCCAGCTGTGGCCGTGCTCCACCACTCTGTCCTCCGGTGTGACATCAAGGTATACACACAGAGCAGCAGCAAACACACATATCTCTGAGTCAGCTGAGTGGCTGGCAGCCAGGCAGAACTATGCGTTTCATTCTCGGCATCACCCGGAAAATGGTTTGGGGTGGAAAGAGCTATAAACTGTATATAAAATACAGTATGTGCTACTTCATTTTATGATTTGCTATGTATAATTTTTATTGTTTATTATCGCAGTTTTGTTCAATTTTGGTGTAGCAAAATACTGAATAACAAAGGACTGAAACCTATTCCCATTTAAATCTCACTGACAACAAAGTTTTTAAGAATTAAGTTGATTTCATTCACATAACCACTTCATTACCAGAGGTATAACTGCATTAGATTTAGTAAAATCCTCCCTTTTGATGAATTGGCCTGAACACTTTATTGTTATATAGAATGATACTGTACATAAACTAACATGTAGAAAAATGCAAACTTGTAGTCTGATTTAGTCTAATATACTTGCAGTCCCTGAGCTACGAACACCCGTACTGTACTTACAAAGGGATCCCAATATATTCATCACAAAAATAATTTTTTTTACATTACTTTATATTGCTTAACACTTTATTTACAGTATTTAAATACTGTATACTGTCTTTACATTGTTTTGTATGGGCAGAGTTGTTTTAACCAAACATATAGAATTATTAACACTGTTCTGACTTATGAACAGATCGACTTAAGAACAGGGTTTAGGAACATAACCCGTTCTTAACTCGGGGACTGCCTGTATATTAGTATTATCCATTTTACTAAACATGTAAATTGAATCAAATGATTAGAAAATGACATGCAGTGAGGAACAACATACCAACTCTACCATAACAAAGTCAGCCTCATCTTTGATGTGTGCAGATGTAGTGGACTTGTGGGAGCCATCTGAGGCAGTCATAAGTCCTTTATCCCTAGCATCTGGCTGCACTACACCCACAGCTCCCCCACCTAGTCCAGCTCTCTCCTGCAATTTTATCAGCATAACTTCAACATTAAGTATGGCAATTTTTTTTACTTGGGTATTGATTCAAAATTCTAGATACTGTACATGTATACTCAACAATGTATTTCATCTGTATAGAACGTTGGGCAGATGAAGGCTTTTTGTCAAATACTGTATTTTGTCTGCAAAAGATGGCTTACATCCATCCATTTTTAACTCTTATGCACACACAGTTTTAATCATACAACTGTTACCACTAGTTGACTTTTATCTCCTCAGGATACTACACTATTTAGTTCATTATTATTCATCTTTATTTGCCCCCAACCTTTTATTTCTTTATGACAGCTGGGTCTGCTAAATGAGACTACCATGTGAATGTGTACATTTTACTAATTTTATGGCAAAGGCTTGGGATTAAACTCCTACCTTTAAATATTAAAGGATGTGGATAAACAATATGGTTTACCTCGTATTGCTCACTTTTAAAGTCTTGACTAAAAATATCACTTTGTTTTCAATGGCTTATGGTGCCTTTATCCAATTTTCTGTTCACCCAAAGGGAAGAAGAATCAAATGCAGAATAAAACAGAGGAAGAGGAACAAATTAATTTGATATACCTGGTTTGTTATGATGGTAACCTCTTTATTTACCACCACAAAACTTACCTGAGAGACACATCTATTATCACTTTCTAGAGCAGTGTGCACTGCTGGTTTGAAAGCCCTCAATTTTTACCCGTGTTAACATTAATTAACTCCCCTTGGAACCTCCCCTCTGAGGGGTTGGCCATGACACAAGAGCCTCCAGGCTACCCAGTCACTAAATATCTCCTTTACCCTCTCTGTGACCCATACTTTATCTTCTTTGTTGTTCTCTTCTTGATATGGTGATTCACCTTTCCCTCCCACAATAAATGTCTCCTCTACCTAGTACCTAGCACACCTACTACACTGTCTCTGTGCACCCTCTTTACTAACCTACTCTCTGGCATCCTTCTGCATACCTTATAATCTCCACATTTCACACCTTCTACCCTCTCATTATTTCTCACCCCTTCCATATAATTGATGTTAATATTGTCAACATCTATGACTATAAGTGAATGAATTAATTTTTACCTGAGCAGTCCTTTCCTGAGTTGTATTTGACTGTTGGTTAGCTGCACCTTCACACTTATCTGTAGTTTTCTTGTCTTGCTGTACCTCAATGGTGGAGGTAAGAAGATTAGAAAATGGTATGTCTGGCATGAAAAAGTCATCTGGCTTTGGTGGCTTAGCATCCACAAAGGCCACCGACACTTTCCGTTCTGGCTGCTGCTGCTGCTGCTGGACAAAGCCACGACAGCTGCTATCACTGTAAAATAGTACCAATTCAAGTCTATGTAAATAATAATGTGATGCTTACCTCTTTTTACCTCATGATCTTTTGTTAAAATACTGTACCAACTTATTCAAACCTGAAGTAATGAAGGAGATGCCACATTTTAGTGGGCTCAGTGGAGACCAACATTCAAACTGGAGATTTCTTCAGTACCGTACTGTATATCAGTGTTTGTTGTTGATCATGAACTGAAAGGTGTCGGATGGATTGTTGAACTTTGAACTGCAACTAAATAACAATAATGCAGGCTAACATGGGACAATTAGGAAATACTGTACCCCCAAAAATACAACAATAACCTTTAAAGGTTTTGATAAGGATTTTGTAGAGTATTTCATATTTGACCCATATTAACCAACATCATTATCAGTTAATAGTGGCAACAGACAAAAATCCATCGACATTCATGACTTCATCAACAGTGAAAACTGATAAAGGCAGCAGCCTTGAAAATTTCCAGCTGGACTGAATACTGTTGAGCCAGAGCAATGATAGTCAATTTATAGTTTCTGGTTTAAATTTACTTCCATGTTAACAATAGATCCATCACTCAGTTTAACCTCATTCTAGACTTCTGTACAGGTCAGAAAATGTGAAAGATCTAATTGGTACTAATATCTCCAAAGGCTACAGAGAAACAACTAAGTGAATCATCTTTTATAAAAGTGTTTTGACTTTTCATAATGCAGTACAGGTATAAAGGGAAATATTCTGTTATGCTTAAAATTGGGAAGCACTGATTAATGTGCTAAAGGGACAACATGCCATATATAGTACACTGTAATATGAATGATTATTTCACAAATGTGTAACACTCAGAACAATCCTAGTGCTTTGTCACCTGGATCGAGAATGATAAAATTTGTGAAACATTTAAGCTATAAATAATAAGAGTTATGTAATACTTTAGCTAAAGATAATAATAGTTGTAACACTTAAGTTACAGATAATGATACTGTAGTTGTAACACCTAGGATATAGATAATGATGGTTGTGTAACAATTAAGTTATAATTATGTAACACTTAGTTTATAGAAAAATTATAGTTGTGAAATGCTTAAGTTATAAAATTAATGATAACTGTGTAGTAACACAAAAGGCAAATTGTGTAACACTACAGTATAAGATGATTACAACATTACATGTTGGAGTTCTACAGAAGCAGGGGATGATAGTTCTACAGTGGTAAATTATTATTTTAGAACATTATGACATTTCAACAGCACTAAAGGACAGTGGATGGCTGGTTTGGCAGCTAAGAAAAAGTACCTGCTAGTTCTGGAGCGAGGTGTGGACGGTTGGTCAAGAGGAGAGGCAGTAAACAGACGGGCAGCATCCTGGCTGTCATCTGATGCCTGGGTTGCTTCACTACTGTCATTCCCTCTGCAACAGACAAATTTATTTATTGTCAATGTGCAGTGTCAATGGACATACTCTCTTATCAACAAAATGGGCCAAACAGCCCAACTTTAGTAAGCAATCCCCACAAAAAATTTACTTTGTAATTTGTTCATGTCAGAACAAATTACTAAGTAAGGGGATGGATATGCAGTGAAGTGTAACATGACAGAGAATGGTATCGATTATTTTTTATATTACAGCAGTAGTAGACTGAATGGATGACAGCAAATAGAGTCAGTCTCTGGTCTTCATTACAGACACTCAGCAAGATACTAAATTGTGAAAGGGCCTGAAGGATTGACTAAAAGAGGTGAGGGATTGATCTTGGGAAAAGTGTATAAGGGGCGACTTTAGCCTATTTGTAGTATTTCTATTATTACCAACCTGTCGGCACCCCGACGACAATGCCGTGGAGAAACTTCTGGCTTGAAGTGATCACTCTTGAGCATAATGGTATCATGTGGTGGACTGCGGCTGGGTGGAGCGAGAGTAATCTGAGTGCGATAACTCACACACAAGAGTAGAGTTGACTCTGGAGTAATAACCTGACCTAGTCGTGCTTGGATGTGATTCTCCCCTGCAATGATAAGTGTGTAAACAATTTCATTATAGCATATCTCTATTAACCTTTAATCTCTTTTTGACACAAATTTGATACAAAGGAATATGTTAAAAAATATATCACTTGTCACGGCCCTGAACATTTTGGTGGTTAATTTTGGACATAGAAAAAGATTTTACATATCAAGGTATGAGTAGCTAAAGTACTCTCTCTCTCTCTTACATATCATCCTGAGATCAGATCTTTTCTTTTGACCATTAAATTTTGTGCAAAATGTTTACTAAACCTTATATACAATAAACACTGGTTTATCCTTGTGAACAGGGTTTCCTTGGAGCTGAATGAAATTGTTTGGCACTAGCCAAATAAAATATTAAAAGAAGCTTCCCTATAGAGGAGTTAAGCCCTTCAATCCAAGGGGTATATATATATGGCCTTAAACTCTCTATCTGAAGGACTGTACCATGCATGATCCATTTTTACCTGTACTGTACTGTACTTACTATGTTTAATTTCCATGTTATATTACCCTATTGTCTCGGCTTTATTTTCTTATTTCTTTGTGAACATTTACATTACTGTACATATATACATTATTTACAATACTTATGACTATTATGGGATAAAATGCTGATACATTAAGGTTTTTTGTATTTTTTTCTGCTTCCATTTCTAAAATAAATACCAGTGAAATAAAATTAGATCAAACATACAGTCAGCCACCCACAGGTCTCCTACTTTTGTGAAACAATTTCCCTCCAATTCTTGGTGCGTGAATGTTCAGCCACTTACAGTAAATGTAGTTCATTGAACTGCATTTCAATTAGCTCATGTTTTCTTCACAAATATTCAATTGTTCTATTTTTAACTACTGTATTTCATTCAATAATGCTTACACTTTTGTACAGTACATTAATTGTGTATATTTTTTACAATATAATGCATTTTATTTCATGTGGTGACAAAAAATGAAATATTTTAGGTTAGGCTGTGTTTTCTTCTTCATACTGTAATTCTACATTTATGGTATACTTTTCACTATTCATTAACTACCTGTACATTAATATACAGATATCTGATATTTAAAGGGATAAAAGTAAAAAGGAACACAATATTTAATTTGCTTTTTATTTAATGTGTAAAAGTACGGTGCAAGTAGGTTTATAGTATAAACAACGGTTAATTACTTTGAGATAATAGTATAATAGTATTTGTGGATTTTTAGATTCGTGGCCATTTCTAGAATGTATCCCCACAAATATTCAGGGATTGGTGTCTGTACAAAAACAGGCAAGAGGAGGGAGTTCAGGTTATTTAAGTCAGGTGGGAGTGAGGTTATATAATCCCCAGTTAGGGAGGAATGATAAGATGCTCAACTCTGTTGTTTAAGTCATCATGAAACATTTCAGTCGTGATATTATTCATTATCATAAACTGCCTGGGGAAATATACCTCTCTCTTAGCTGAATTTTTTATTTAGTAGCACCATCCTGGTCCTATAGGTGCCAGATATGGAAGAGTTTGCTGTAAAAAGATTATAGGTTCAGCACTTGCCCCCCCCATCCTAGGTTTGATCCCAGGGCAACCTTAGTCCACCAAACTATTCACGAGTACCCGACTTTACTTTTGGGAAAGTGAAGGCAGGCAAGTGGACAAGGAGGCATTATGGCCACTACAGCCACAGTCTCCTTGTGTCGACATGTACTGTACAGTAATTACTTGTTCTCATTAAACATACAGTATCCTCATTTATATTTTTCTATATGAACACAAACTGTTGACATGTTTGAGATAAACAAAAAACTTTTGCAAGGACACACAAGTGTGGACACTTACCTAGGCAGTCATAGTTGGGGTCACCGAGGTAGACGCGGTAACATATGATGAAGGAGTCTGGTCCCTGTCTGAAAGCCAGTTTGTAAGCAGGAGTGATGCGGGTGACTGCCAAAAGGGACTTGAGTAGCACCTGTCCAGGGGTACAAACAAACCCTCATTATCCACCAACAAAGTCAACATATTATGAATGTATCCTCCTTATCTATGATAAACTCATATTTGATCATCATAAACTCATATTTGATAAGAACCACAAATTTTTGCAGCAACTTCAACAATACAAATCCATGTTTAATATTCTGTAACCTGGGAATACCTATATTTTTCACTGGTATTATTTGTGGAATAAAATCATAACAGCAAAGTTCACAAATATACTTGAAGCAAAATAAAAAGATCCCACATAAAAGTAGACACTCAAATTGGAACTACTCAAGAACTCTTCTACATTCTAAAACTAAATACTGTACAGTACTGCACTATGTAAATATGCAGGGCTGGATCTCTCACAGAACCATAAATTATACAATGTCAAGTAATTATAATATAAATGAAGTTCATCTTGCAAAATTAGAAACCCCTATGCAGTAAACTGGAACTCCTACCGTCATTCTGTTATAGATGGTTGGGTTTATCCTGGCGGGTGATGTATCGTATGCGTCCAAGATTGTGAGTGTCCAGAGTTCTAGGACAAGGCTGTCTGATTCTGGAGTCCGAAGGAGAATTTCCACAACGAGAGGTTTCCCTACATCTGGCATGTGACCCCCCAGGCCTCTCTTGGTCTCCTGTTGTATCTCATGGATGTCTTCAATTCCTAAGTTGAACTGCCAAAGGAAATGACACATTCTTAAGTGATGAGGGCACAACTGACCATTCAACTGATGTAAGATTCAGATTATTTTATTCTTACAGTCCTCTTTTCTTGTGAATGACCAGGATAAAGAGCAAACACAAGACTCTTCACATACTGTATCTTATGTCACGCATTTTTTTTATTTATTTTTTTTTATTTTTTTTACAGGGATTAGCCCACCCGGGCATAGGTCTGACCCACATCGGGGCCTGGGTGGCGAAAATGTAATAATAATAATAATAATAATAATAATAATAATAATAATAATAATAATAATAATAATAATTCATAGTAAATAAAATTTATAATAAAAATACAAAATTAAAAATAAAATAATAAATTAATGATAATAACAACACTAATAATAATAATAATGAAATACAAAAATTAAAAATATCAAAAGTGAGAAACAATATATGTATGTTATGTTGTCAATAGTACTGTACAAGAAAAAAATTGAGACCCTGCAATTGTGTGTAAATGAGGCAGAAAGTAAGAGCAGCAACCTGGGACTTGGTCAAAATTTTTGTGATGCCATATGGCAGCAGGGTCTACCATTAGACAACATATTATGCTTCCAATACCTTCCCAGGCGGTAGTACCTTCCTGTTTGGTAGCTACCTACTGTACTGTCATGATTTTTCCACAACTTTTAGTTTCATTACTTGTAACAAGGCCACATGCCATCTCACAGGTTGCATCATCCCCAGTTTTCCCCCTTTCCAGTGAGTCAAGCTATTACTAAACCAAATTTTAACCTAACATTAAGTGAGAAATGGTCTTTTTTTTTTGATTAACTGAATTAAGTAAATTAATGCTAAATGTGGGATACCTGTACCGAAAACAGCTTACCTCCTCCATTCAAATTGTTGCACTTGTATTCATTTGCTTTTATCATATTAATATTTATTTTCTTCACTTATCATATGTTAACTTTCATTATCACCTCTTACTACACTGGTACATTTCCAAACTCATTCACTAATACTTACACCTTCTCATCAGAACCACCCACAAGAGCAGTGTCAATTGAAAATTGCAGTTGACTCACCATCCACCAGCACCCATCTTCCTATAATTCAAACTTTTATCTGTTCATCACCCTTACCTTCACCTCTCTTACTACCCCATGCAGGCAAATACCCATCGGCCATAACAATTTTGCACATACTTGGCAAAATTTCACTTTTGCCATGAACTAGTCTGCCTTTTCCCAATACATTAAACACATGTATCATTCTCGCTGTAAACATTTTGGATACCAATTAAAAAAAATTCATTCATCCTAAATGTTTTCAATACTTACCATATTACTTTTCTCTTGACTCTGTAACACAAGTTTTTCTTCTAAACCCATAAAGACTGTACAGTACTGTACTACAAACGAACTCTTCTCATTCTACACATACTATACTACAGTACCTGTATTGTACAGTATTTTTGTCTATACTGTGCTGTACTCCTTAACATAAACATCAGATTCACACACTGTTTTCTTCTGAACCCACAATGTTCCTGTCTTAATAAACTCTGATGTGCCATTATTTTCTCCATAATGACTCGCCTTACACATTTCCAGTTAGTGTACACTTAAAAAACTTTTTACCCTATTATATTTGTACAGTATTCACTCATCACTATTCATTTTACAAAGAGAACAATGCATGCTCTGGCATCCCTTTGACACTCATCACTATTATGCATTACAGTACAGTACCTATAAACTTGACATCCATTCTATTCTGTAGAGTATTTTTCAAGTTTTTTCACACTTCTAAAGTGATTCCATCGACTCCTTGTTTACAACATCACTCCGGTAATAAAGAAAATTTGCTTACCCATTCTGAACCTTGTGCTGGAGTTTTTGATTTGGTGAAGGCTTTCTCCCCTAGTCGGCTCTGAACAACCACTTGCACAATCTTCTGAGTCAGAATTTTTGTGAGGCGGGCCAATTCCCGCCTGTCTTCTGAGCTTAGGTGACGTCCAGACATGTTTGCAGTTATGTAATGATCTTCACATCTCTTCTGACATATTAAATATTTATTCTAAGGTTTAGAGGCAAAAAAAACGTACATCTGTCAGTTTCACTTCCTGCTTGGAGTACGCACTGCTGTATTTCAGAAACTTTCACTAAGCCCACAGAGTGTGAATCACCAACCTCTTATGATCATGTTTCCATAAAACTAGACTAAGATTATTTAAAATTCAAAAAAATATTAGAATATTTACTTTCCTGTCAATCAGTAAATTTATTGACAGTCTTAGTAAAGCTTACATATACTGTATAAATTACAATAGTTATTTGGATACTGCAGTAACACAAGTGTTGGTGGTGGATGCAGTCTACCTCAGTACTCACACCTCCACCACATCATCTTCTTGCCCGCAACTCCCACCACCCCTTGCTCTTCTCAGCTTATATCATCTGTAAAAACAAAAGTCAATACATAAGTACAGTATATATGTACATTGCATGGAAATGGAGAGAGAGGGATGAACCTAAATAGCTGTATACAAAAGATACAGTGCCTCTGTAATCACATCTCTCAACATGTCTCGGGAACACATTACTGTACTTAATTTTTATTTATTTTTCAATCGTACAGTAGGTGGAAGTACAATATTTATAACGAACTCCAGAAAGAGAGAAAAAAATGCAATTCCTTATCATTATCTACAATTCTCTTCAGGAAAGAAAAGAAATTATATTCAATAGAAAACATTGAAAAAAGGTGGTTTACCTGTGCAAATGTCCTAAGTATTACCAATTATTCAGCCTGGATACTAGAAGACACATTTACCATTTGCTACCATTCAATGATGATTTCTGTTAATTTGTGTCTAAGTAAATTGAATTTATAGTCATACACAGGTCTTTCTCTTGCTGTTATTAACACGTATTTCGGAATGTTTAGACAATTCTAAGACATTTTTCTTCTTTGATATTTCCGCCGGAAATTAAGGATAACTGAGACATTAATTTTTCAATATTATTCGATTTGCTTCGTCACAAGTGTCACCATGATTTGTTTACATCTAGCGGAGGTCTGATCCTCCTCAGCCAGTGATCCTTACCTCCATTTTAGCTTCTTAAGTGTCTACAGCACATGTGCAGGGGTGATGTGGATGTTTCTTATTGGCTATAGCGATAGGAGACTTATTATTGAGCAAGAGTTTTTTGTCTTAGCCAATGAACAATGTGTGGGTGCGTCGGGAGCGGACATTTGAATTTTCAGCACCAGATATGGCTGAACAGGTGGAAGAGCTGTACCGACATTGTGATAAAGATTAAATTTTACGTAAATTGCCAAGTTTCATCAGAAAAATAGAGGCAATTTCATTTTTTTTAGACAACACAGTATATTACAAAACGTTCTTTGTCCAACCTGATTATTCTTCAGATTAAGGTAAGATGTTGGGGCATGGACAAAAGGGGGTCCAGGGGGGCTCTGCCCCCTGATTAGGTTAGTTAGTTTAGGTTTTGTTGGTTGGTTGGTATTTTATTTAGGTGATTTACTCGAAAAAAATCCAACTTTTTCCGTTAAGATTGTTAGGTGTGTGGGGGGGGGGGGGCTCTTAAAACTAGTGATTTCCAACGGAAATGAATATCAAATTCATTCAAAACTCATCAAATACCATAGGAAAAACATATTTCTAATATCAAAAGAAAGACCAGCGCAATAATACCATGTACTACAAGAAATAATTTTCTACAAACATAGTCCACAAAACACTTAATTTTGTGGCACCCTTGCCATTAACATTTGCGGATTACACCTGACCTTCCAATTGGGGTATGAATGGTGCAATACATTTATAGCATTATTAGAAATATATTACCAGCAGACAATTAAGAAAGAGAAAACTCATATCAGAAATGAATATTCTAGACTGTATACACAACCACCAGACAAATAATACTATACACAAATCATAAACAAAGATAGTGAACAACATAACAAGTGGGTGACGGAGCACGACACAGCCTCGTCCAAAACTAGACCAAATATCAGCACACCTTCTATATATTTACACCCCAGGTATCGCGGGAATTGTAATTGTCACTTAATATTCGCTAAACAGTCAGCTGGGACGAATAAAGTGCGATGGAGAGCCAGAGATGTAGTAAAGAACACTTCACCACCTTCATGACAACATCGTCTTGTTTACATTACAGACTGGTCGCTTGTTCTCCGTCACCGTCGACCAGAGGAGGTGTGGGCGGCCACCTCTTCATAAATCAAACACCCTCTTTTATAAGCTCAAATAAATCCAGATAGATCTAATTAAGCACGATTGACCTAAATAACCCCTAGTGGAACAAAATTTACCCAGTAACCTAAATAACCTTAAATAGACCCAAAAGAATCCAACTGGACATTGTTGGACCTTTTATTTTATATCTTTCTTATTCTTATCTTCTTCGCCTCTAGTCAGTTTATTAGACAGTTGAGAAGTGTTTTCCTATTTTCTTCTCCAATGGTTAGTTTAATTACTGACCAGTTGGCCGAAATTTAGTCAGGAATTAAAAAGAATCGGGTCGTGGGTCTGGGATCACTCATAGTCAACGTGTCTTTATCCATGGCTTTAACCCAAGGCTAGAAACTGATAAATGGTAAATAGATAAATTAAAAAAAATAAAAAAAGATCTGACAACCCGCAGGTAACATCAGCGTGGTTAATCTTGAGGTGAAATGAACTAATATTCAGTTGATGCTATTCAAACTATTATGTATTTTTTTTTCTTACTCAAACTCTTTAAACTCATTCACTTGACATGTTGAGGAAGAAAAATAAAGTTTTAAAGTCTCATTGGCTCGTACCCCTTCCTCTGTCAATATTTTTCCCAGTAATTAGTAAGATCTGGCTACTAATTTGGGATGTCAAAACTAGAACACATACAAGTAATAATGATAATTGATATACTACGATTCACTTTGCATAAAAATATTGCCTTTTAATTACCTAGTACAATGAAAAGAGAAACAAAAATAAATTTGGATTGAACCAATTGGGCATACCCAAGAATGATTATCATCATCAGTTACGATGCTATTACAGCACTATTTAGCAGTAGTAATAGTATAACCGTAGTGACAAAGGTGACAAAAGGAACAATACAGTTCTAACAGTGGTGGTGAACGTAAGAGTAAACTTGAAGTAGCAGCACTAGGAATAAGCAATAACATTCAGACTATCAGTAGCAGTAATAATCCTCCCCATAATAGTAATATCTTTATTTTGAGTTAGTAATAACAGAAGTAGCAGGATATATCAGTAGTAATACAGTAGTGATAGTTTGGTCAGCACTTGGCGCTGGTCGTCCTGGGAGTTAGAGCGATAGGAGCAGACGCCACTCCTGAGGTAACAAACAAGACAGCAGGGCCCCGCTCACCCGCGGTAATTTAATACTTATTTCCTCATATTTACTGCACATGCTGACTCAATCACATACTAGTATGATAGACAACTATCAATACTTCCATTATGACTCCTCAAACTAGTTAAAATAAGGGTAATAAACTTACTTTATGTGAAAATACAAGAGTTTTCACAGGTTGAGGTTCGGTAGTGTTGTGGAATTCATAGAATAATCGTATTGTTATGGTACCTTGGTGATTGTTACTTTAATATTGTTAAAATTGTAGTGACTTGAAGAATAAGCATTTTTGTGTAGTTATTGGGAAAGAGTGTTACTAGTATGAAGTACAGAGACGAGAGGTGTTGTGGTGGTCACGTTATGTTAGTTCTTATAAGCTAGGTCTGTGTTGGTCATACAAAACATCCTAATGGTTTATAGCTTCATTTTTCTCCCATACTTCTTCTCTGACCTTTACCTTAAGGCAGGTTATGACTAAAATCCCAGTTCTTGACTTACCTTTATTAAGATAGGGTAGTAATGTACTTTGTCATTCCTATGTACCGGAACTAGGTGTTTTAGAGCCATTGTATAAAGAATATGTTTTTGCTCCAATAATAGACTAATCCACCTCGGATATTGTAATTTACATTTTTTTTATTTTGAAGTGGCTATAATATTGTGGCTGCCTAGCCCAAAGGCTGTCGCACTGTATTACTAAGCCACTAGCATAGGTTATATCCTAAATAGTTTCACCAGCAAAACACTTGACATTGCTCTACAAAATGCTGGATGAAATGGTTTCTTCTCTGTAAGAATGTAATATCACAGCCAAGCAGCCTGTGGGTGAGGTAGCCGCAATATTATGTCTACGGAGCTATGGTACTTTTTCTTATTTTTCTGATTGACTTGCTGGAAGACTTCTACGTCCACTATTAGAATTGGCAAAATGAACCACTCAAACCAAATTTTATTTTGCCAGACTTACAGTACAGTACCTGTAGTCTATGAGTGTTACATAAATGTCTTAAAGTTACTGGTAATGTTTGAGGAAACCACAACCACCAGAGGGAGTTGTTTGATTTTGTTCAAATTTTACACCTTACCTAACTTCCTGGCCAGGGGGTAGAGCCCCCATGACCCCCCATCATAGAAAACAGAAAATACTTACTTGGATGTCTGGTACCAAGGAAAGCAACTTTGTTAAAGTGTCAAGGTTTAATTTTACGTTTTTTGTGGATGTGAGAGTATGCTCGGACCGAGCGGGTCAGTTGTAAACATACAGAGCAGACGACAACATGTGCCGACAACGGCAGATTTGTCGGAGGAGTATTTACAGCAAATACTTAATTTATTCACGTCCAAAGCGTGTACAGACATTATTTTAGTGTTATATGATCAGTTTTCACTGTGTTTTTCCCCGCAATTTCCCTCATCCTTCATGCCCTTCCCACTACACGTGATTTATGATCATATACAGAATATAGGAAAATGAAACAAAAATACTTAATGTGAAAATATAAAGTTTTTGCTATTTCCAGATTACTTACAACCACCAAAAGAAAAGTCAGTAAAAAAACAAAGGAAATCATAAACATTTTCTGGTGGTAACGGATTCCTTATACAGGTACTCCTTGACGTACGACCTCCTTGGCTTACGACCACCCGGACATAAGACCGCCGCAGTCGTATAAAATATTTTTTAAATTACGTATTTTCGAGTCCCGACTTTAGTGATCACGCTGTGTACTGACAAAATTTTCGTTTGCAGTTCCCTTTAAAATGGCTGGCAAGCGTAAAAGTGAGAGTTCTTGTGGTGCTGAGAAGAAAAAGAGACACCCATTTTAGATATTCTATGTATTATTTTTGCATTTTCGACTTACGACCTGGTCGTCGGTCCCTAACCCCGCTGTAGGTCAAGGACTATTGAAAAAATCAGTACGGTATTTATTAAAATAAACAATAACTGTATTCTGAAATAGATCAGTATATATTAGATATTGTATTGAGAAAGATGATGATTGTTGGTAACTTTACTGAACTTAAATATTGAGCAGTAATTGAAGTTCAATTTCTCTCTCAAAAACAAAGCAAAACAGAAAAAATACAATAACTGTACTGTATATGTAAACTGTGATTCCTAGGGCAGATGTCGGTTATGCTCAGGGTAAGGAACAAATGTCTGCCATATGAAAGTTTCTAAAATTGCTTGTTTTCTTTACAAGAATTGTAAAATATTGCTACAGTTGCTACACAAAGCTATTGCTACTAATTTTGGTATATTTTCTTCATATTATTATAGTTCTTATTATTTATTGGAAAAACAGTTCTTAAACACACAAAAAAAATTAGAACGAAGAAATATCTGTTAAGTTTCCATACATTCAGTCATGCCAAGTTCTATGCAAATATTAGAGGTTAGCAGCTGATTTGCTTTTAGTCACAGTCTGTACTGTACTGTGGTGTAGCAAGTACTGTATTGTACTGTATATACGGTACTCTAAACCACTGGCATCACATATCTATGCCATGTTCTGCCAAAACGGTTATCAGTTCTGTTGTAAAGCCCTAAACTTTACAAAAAGTGCAGAACTATCACCAAAAGATTGATAATGACAGGAAACGTTTACCCAAACTGTGATTAAAACACCAAAATATTGCACCCAGAAGGGAGGTAAATAAAATAAAATGGGAACGATACAATGATAATGGTGACTGTGATCTTTATTATAGTTCTGATATACTGTAGGCAGTGAAGGCAAAATGGCAAATTGTTGTAAATGTAATAGATCAGTGTCTGGAAAGGATAATGCACTATGGTGTGATGCATGTGAGACATAGTTTCTTATAAGTGGATGCTTCAGAACCTACTTAAACAAATACTATATAAGGCTATAGAAGTAGTAAAGGATTTGGTAAGGTGGTTCTATAATAACTGTGATAATAATGTCAACAGTAAGAAAAATGAAGGAACCAGAGGAGAGGAGAATCTTGGTGGAAGAGAAAATAGAATTGAAAGTAGAATATGAGTTGACAAATACATGAATGAGAATTTTGAGAGAAAGGTGCAAAATTTATAGAGTATTACTCCTGTATACATAATAGGATTTAGATGGCAATAGATGATATAAGAGATTCTCAAAGGAGGGCACAATTTGATACAAATAAAGTTAAAGAATTACATGTTGGAGTAACAGATAACCTTATGGTTGACAAAGCAGATTTTGTAATCACTTTTTACATCTTAACACTGTTTTAACAGCATTCTTGGCTGATTATATGCTGGTACAGTAATGTGCACAACACAGAACTTATGCAAAAACAGCAGTGAACAAGTGAACAAGCTTGTACAATACCAGCAAACAATGACCTAAGAGTGTCACAATGCAAGAGTTTGAGGATATGGGCTGTGAGATACAGCAGCCAATCATAGGCATCCCATGCAGTTACTTGACACTAGTGGCCCAGCACGTGTCCCTGTGTCGAAAACATGATGCAATCTCTCGGAAATTAATTTGAATGCCCAGAACAGAGAGATTCTCTCAGAATTTTCTGTAAATGCGCATAATGCACTCCTTGGAAATTCTGGCTATTGGAATGTTTCAGGGATCAAAAATTCTGACTAACAGACAGATTACTGCACAGTCATTTTTATCATTATTTTATGGCCATTTGCTATGCTTGCATGGGTTAGTCTCAGTTACCTGATGGCAGTTCTCCATGCTGCATGGTCTCTTGCAGTCTCTCGTGTCAGGTTCTTAACTCTAATATTATTTTTTTACAACCTCTCCCCCATGTTATTTTTAGCCTACCACTGACTCTCCTCCCCTGAAGCACCTCTTGAACCAATTGGTTTCATCCATTCCCTCCATATGCCCAAACCATCTCGGTTTGCCTCTACACATAACTTTGTCAATAGTACTCTCAATAATCAGCTATCCTCTTAGCTCTGAACAGGGCCTCCTGCTTTTCAGTCTCACATTACACATCCACCTCGCCATTCTCACAGCTTGTTTTAGTCTACTTATGTCATCCTCTGTAACTGTTCATGTTTCACTGCCACATACATTCTTCCTTTCACTCAGAAGAAAGGTCCTCTTACCATCAATAAAGGCAGCAACTCCCTACACTTCTCCAGTCACTTCTGACTCTTGTAACTGTGCAGGCTTCAGCACCCCCATCGGCACTGATCATGCCACCCAGGTAACAGAACTCATTGACACAGTCTAGTACCCAGGATATTTACTCTTTGTATCTTGCAGCAAGATGTGGGCCCCAATACACATGCGTAAGATATTTGTGGGCGGCATTGACTACACCACCACAGATGAAAGCCTAAAGGAACACTTCTCTCAGTGGGGAGAAGTGGTTGATGCTGTTGTCATGAAAGACCCAACTAACAATCGGTGAGCATTATATGACTTCCTGCTCTACTATAATATTGTCATTTATTAATATTTCTGCCATAAATGTTACTTCACTCTTCTCTCCCTATTTTGTGCTTGTAATATTCTTTTTACTTCCAATATGTTTGTCAGTTATTGAACCCCTTGTGTATGAGATTAAATCTGTGCTGAATAAAATCATCTGTACTGTAAGGTGTGCTTACGTCTTACTGATGTAAACGAGTCTTGGTCAAGATGTCGGCAAGTGGACTTGCTTCAGTATCAGTGGGCATGTGACCACACTTGCACTGATTGGGCAATGCCTCAGGCTACATTGTGTATGATTTTATAACCATACATTAAGATTAAACAACCTTGTGTAGTCAGCAAGTCCAGGGGATTAAATCTTCAATATAAAAAAAAAAAATAATGAAGATAATTGTTCTCTTTCATATCAGAATGTGCTCCAAAAAGGAAAGGGCTGACAAATTTTTGCCACAAAGCATTAACATACAGTATTTATATGCTTTGAGTCTTTAGTTTACCTTTAGTTGACATGAGTTAAAATATGATGTCACAAGGATCATCAGTCACACCTTGTTGAGTCTAAAATGATCTGGTTTGGCTACTTTTTTCTTGCAACAATGACAAGTGTTTACTTCTGTGCACCAACTGTGAGATAGATGAAGTGCAATTGATGTACAATTTGTTTACTGCTTTATTCCTAACAAAAAGTTCATCACACACACTTAAAGTTTCTGGCAGCATTTGTTTATATAACTGTGATGTTAAGGTGCACAATTGGGGCCCAAATTCCCTTGACACTTATCAATGTCTGGCATTTATTTTTGGATGATGTATGTGACAGACCGTGCAGATTAGCAGTGCCCAGCAGCTTGGTGTGCCCGGATGAGGGGCTGGGCATGTGATTTTCCATGTTCATGTGCCTGGCACTTGCCTGGTGGACAAACTAAGATTTTGAGAGGTACAATAAATACCTAGGGAATTTGCCAGGTGCTGCATGACTCCACCTTACCATAGATATTTAACCAGGGAGGTCTGCCTATGGGCTTCTTGTCATCAGTGTACAGTACCAGGATTAGTGACCTATATCAGGTGCAGGTAACATATCTCCACATAGGTCACCAACCTGCCTCGTCAGTGTTAAGTTTTAAAAATTTTAAAGATGGTGAGTGGTACTTACGGTAGGTGATCACAGATGCCACCTCCACCCCACCACAAACTGCAGGTGTGATGTTTTGACATCACAGGACAAGGGTTACCATCAGCGACACCATTTAGATGACACAAGTGATCTGTGAGTTGATACACACAATAAATTTGAATGTTTTAAAATGTTTATTTAACTTTTCACATAAATAAATCTGGGCAAGCAAATTTTCTTTAAAAAAATTATCAGGACAATTAAAAACAAAAAACAAAACCAGACAAGTAAATTTCAAGTCACTTGCCCGTGATAAGTGAATACTCCACATAATTTGCACAGCCTGTTGTGTGGTTGGTTTATAGCTTGTAAAATTACTTACCATGATAAATTATGTTAAGAATAATAACATGAAACAATCTTCTGTTAAACAAAGTGGAAAATAATTTTTATAATCCCAATCCCTGAATCTACTTGATCCTCAAATAGATCCATGATTTTGACATAAGTGTCCAGGAAATTTTGTCTGTAGCTATATATTGTACCTTTGCTCCTAGAGATTGTGATGATTATGTTTCTTGCAGGTCTCGAGGCTTTGGATTTGTGACCTTCATGAACCCAGATCATGTAGATGCCGTGCAGAAAGCACGGCCTCACAAAGTGGATGGGCGTTTGGTGGAGACTAAACGAGCTGTTCCCCGCAGTGATACCAACACCACCATCCTCCCAACCACCAACCACCCTGATGCAACTCATACTAGGATTTTTATTGGTGGTTTACCTCAGGTGGGCAGTTGTGCAACATCTCCAGCATGTAGTGATAATATATTACTGCTTTAGAGAAATATTTTTTCACATATGATTAATAAAGAAGAGAGTGAAGATCAGTGGAATAGTTTTTCTGGTGTTATCAAGTAAACAATGAGTTTAGTGACCATGGGGAGGAAGCGCTTAGTCATACATGTGTGGTTAATCTCTCTTCCTCTTTAACTGGTAGGTTTACTGGTTCTTGGCCAGAATTATGTCCAAAAACTTTTGCCATTTCATCTTTTCCCTGTTCTGGACTGACATTATTATAACAACCCTTTTGGCTGATAAAACCACATTCTTCAGCTCTCTCTCTTGAATTCCTCTTTAGATGATTTCAACATCCCTTTGCCAACTAATCTACCATTGACTAATACCATACCCCTTCCTATAATTCTTTCACTCACTCCTTAAAGCACTTCTCTCTTTGGATACAAATAACACACATAGCCCTAATGGCATTCCTCTCCATTCTCTGATGGAACAAACCTCTGAGCCTCTGCTTACTCATCTGTTTCATCTTTGGCTAAGAGCTTAAAATTTTCCTAACAGCCTAGAATCAAACAATGGTTCGGCTCATCATAAAGAAGGGTGACCATTTTATTTCTTCTTTCATCCTATAAGTCTGACTTCAACTGTCCCTAGACACTTAAATTCTCTCTTCAGTTCTCACGTCCTCAAGCCTCTAATTCTTAGTCTTATGAACACTTGTACAGTTTTCACTAAACAATATACGCTGGTGATAATCTTAGTTATATTGCTGATCCCTGGGTTCCTCTCAAGAGAATTTTGAGAGTATTATTTTGTGGCTCATGACATTATTAAAGACCCTGATTGGACTTGGTGTCAGGCTCTGATCTCCAAGCTTCCAACCTTTGTTCTTTTTTCCCCCTGTCTCTCTGTTGTCTCATTTCTGCTTGCTTACAGTATGTTTATAATTGTACCATTTATACAGTGGTTGGATTATCATTGTTTTCCCATCATCATTAATGGTCCTCAGGGCTCTTTCTCTTACTCTCTTCCTTTTCATAAATGATCATCTTTCCTCTACTAATAACACAATCAATTTTACACTGATGGGACAATGCTCTATTCTTCTAGCTCTTTCAAATCCACCCCATTAACTCCTGCTTGATTTCATTCTTGCCTCATTTCTACCACTTTAAATTAAGATGGACTTAACCTGGTGAAAATGAAAACTGTATGATGCAATTTCTTATTTTATTAAGTCTCATTTTATGGCTATGTAGTTCTGCCATGAACATAATAAATATACTGTACTTGGTACAAATGTAACCTCAGATTTCTCTTGGAATCCTCACATAAATCAAATAGCTAAATTTATTGCCAAATAATGGAGATCTTTTTCAGGTGTTGAAGACTTCTCTCCTGAGCAACTGATTTATTTGTCTCAGAGTTATTGATCTCATATCTGGGGAGTCTCTAGCTCCACCCAGCTACTTGACAGAGTCAAGTCTAAAGAATTCCACTTCATTAACTCATTTTAACCTAAAAGCTTAACCCACTTTTCCTTTGCTGTACTGTGTTGGTTCTCAAGAACTGGCTTCTTCTATCCTTCTCTATTGTGTAGGCCATACAGTGTTCAGTAAGCCACTGGTATAGTTACTGTTTGACTGCTATTATGAGGATGGGTCATTGTGAAGCTGCTCTTTCCCACTCTTGCTAAATGTTGAAGCACTTTACCTTCTTACATCTTTCCAGTCAACTATGACCTGAATCCTGACCCTTTGTTAATAGCAATTCAGCCATCATAAAGGTCGTTCATCTTTAAGTACAGCATGCCCTGACAATTCACAGATTTTTAATATGTGGACCTCGATAATCAGAAACAAAACAACAAAATGTAGAAAAAATTTAAGAGTTTACCCTCAAGTCAACTCCGTGCTTTGTTATTAAACTTTAATTACGAAGCACAGAGTTTACTTGAGGGCAAGCTCTTACATTTTTTCTACATTTTGTTGTCTTGTTTCTGATTATTTGTGAGAGGATTTTCCCATTATTATTTATTTGTATGTGTTTTGTGTGTCTAACTGTCTATACACACACAAACACATATGCAATACTGGTAAAATAAATAATTGTCCTCAGGGCAAACACATAAATGGGATATACATTTCTTTGCACATGAGTAAAAAAAATGTAACCCCCCCTCCTCCCCGGTCAGCAAATGATATTCATGGATTTGGCTATTCGAGGCCATTTTGAGACCCAAACTCCCGGGAATTTTAAGGGTATGCTGTACATCTACTTTTGTCACCAAAATCGTAACTTTTACAAAGACTGCACAGTTGCTTGAATTCATATGCAGGTACTCTTCGACTTACGACCTACTCGACTTACGACCACTCGGACATACGACCGCCGCAGTCGTTTAAAATATTTGTCCAATTACATATTTTCGAGTCCCAACGTTAGTGATCTTGCTGTGTACTGACAAAATTTTTGTTTGTAATTCCCCTTAAAATGGCTGGCAAGCATAAAAGTGAGAGTTCTCATGGTGCTGAGAAGAAAATGAGACACCCATTTTAGATTTTCTATGTATTATTTTTGCATTTTCGACTTACGACCATTTCGACTTACGACCTGGTCGTCGGTCCGTAACCCTGTTGTAAGTCGAGGACTGACTGTAGAACCTATTGAATTGCAATAAAGTGATTAGAAGTTACTTGTTTAATGGTAACTGATGTTGTTAATTTTTTTTTCTTCAGGATGTGAAGGAAGATGACTTGGAAACATATTTTGCTCATTTTGGTCGTGTGACGTGTGTCAACATAATGTATGATAAAAATAGTGGTCGGCATCGTGGGTTTGCTTTTGTCGACTTTAATGACTATGATCCTGTTGACAAAGTATTGTGTAAGTATCACTGCTATTTTTATTAAATGCAATCACAGTATCATTAGTTATCTTAATTAAAATATTGTAGTGTTAACTTAAACAACTTACGACCCAAGTGTATGAGAGTGGTTTAAGTAAGCAAGCTGGCTACAGGGTTCATCCTGATACAACTGTTGGCTTGTTAGCTCTCAAAACAATCTCTGGAGCAGAGTTAGATTGTATTTTATAAACCTTAGTTCAGCTTGACTAGGAACTTTATGAAGATATTTACAATGATTGGACAGGATGGTGTCCAAGCTTCAGAACACAGATAGGACAGTGGTGTTCTGAAGGGGTAATGTTACAGGTCAGTTGTTAATTGGCGTGCAGAATACCAAAGGATATAAGGAATGGGATGGAAAATATATGGGAGTAAGACTTGAAGATTTAATTTATTAAATATATGTGTTAGACCATTCTTAATGCTAGATGATGTATGTTATAGAAGAATGTTTAGTGTATTATATAGTGTATGATGATGTATGTTGTAGGAGAATGTTGAGTGTATTATACTGTATAGTGTGTGATGTAGAAGGATATGTGAAGAAGGTTCTCTATGATTATGATGTGTCGGTCAATAGTACAGTACCTGTAGATTTGCTTATTTTACAAGAATTATTACTAAACAATGAATATTTTTCAACAATATTTTTTATTTTCACAGTAACTCGCAATCACTCCATTAAGGGTCGACCAATAGATGTTAAGAAAGCAATCAGCAAGTCTGACATCAGTAAAATCAAAAGCTTAATGTCTGGTGTTGTGGGTGGCCCTGAGGCAAGCTTCCTCGCCAGTTTAGGAGGAGGCAGCTCCAATGATGGCACTCCTGCCACCACTCCACTGCCTCCTCCCATAGGAACTCTTCCAGCAATCCCAGGACCATCTGGTGCAGCTGCCATCAATGGCGCTGCTCTGGGACGTGTGACAGCAGCAACATCAATGAACAATGCAGTTACAACCACTGCTGGCCACCCAGGACTAGTACCACCAGTAGCACAGTTAGCACACCCTTTCTTCCCTCGACTCCCTTTGGCTGGTCTTCCAGGCTTCTCGGCTCAGCTGCGGTCTGGATGGCAGTACAGTGTTTCCGGCAATGCTGAAGTGCTCAGGAACACAGCAGGTCAGTTTCTATATATTCTTTAATTTTGTGTTTGTTTATGAGTAAACTCACACAGATATCACCTAAATTTTACTGTTTTGTCAGCAACACTCCACTTTGTTTGGCAGCTTCTATTGGGTGATGGTTATGACAGGCTGCCTTGCCACTATATATTTCTTTTCCCTTTTATATTCCTCTTATCCCTTTTTTATGTTTTCCTCTTAATGTATGGGTCCTTCTTTTCCCCTATAATGTAGGTTGTGTGTCACCCTCTACCCAGTATATGCTTTGCTCCTCCCATAAAACTTACGATAACATTCAGCAATTCTTCATTTATCTCTTATAATGTATTTTCAGTACTTCGCTTATTGCTTTTTATATCAGCTCAATCATATACTTTATACAAATGCAATAGATAGGTTCTTCCCTTTCTCTAGGAACTTCTCATTCATATTCCCTAACACTGACACTTTATCTACATATTCTCTTCCATTTCAGAACTTACATTGTCATTCCCCTAACATAAAACACACTATAAGTTACAATTCTCTCAAAAGACTACCATACACCTCCACAGGTATGCTTAACAAACTTATTCCTCAATAAATCTTTCATTAATGTGTATCATCCTTTATCATCCTTTCTCTGTCATTCCCTTAGTACTTTTCTCTCTTCTCATGCATAACTTTCACAGTATGGTACACCTTGTCATCCATTCTATCCCCTTTTTTCACATCCTTTCCTCAATATTTTTACAGTAGTTCCGTCAGTTCTTGGCACTTTACTTGCTCACAGTCTGTCTCACTCCTTTCTCCTCCCCATCCCAAACAGGTTAATTTCACTCTTTTCTCTTTTGTTAAGTTCAACAGATGCTCATAGTATTTTGCCCATCAACCTTTCACTTCCATTTTAACTGCCCTTCTCGTATGTTCTTTTGAGTGTGTCTCTATTCATTCCCTTTCTGTACAACTTCTTTTTAAAACTTTGTGTCAGCCTTTCTCCCTACCTTTCATTTGCTGATTTTTCCTGTATTGTTTGTCTCTGCTTTCAACTCTGTATTGTATGCCTCTCTACTTTCATCTCTCTCCATTCCATTTGCTGCTCAGATCCCATCTTTTCATCCCATAATTCACTTTTCTTGTTTTTATACCCTAATATCTTATACCCACACACAGGCTTACTGAATCTAAAAAAAATTCCAGTAAATGTTAAAATTCACTAGCCCACACAAATTGAAGTGATTGAATGAAAGTTGTTACAGAATATAGATAGAACATACAGACTCATAATCATTAATAAGAAGTGTGGTTATAAATGCAGTTGCTTACGTGATAATATATTTATTATTTTAACTGAAAAAAAAATATAAAGTAGGATCACCACTCTTTTGTGGAATTGCTCACCACTTTTGCATCGGATAAGCCCGAATATGGCCGTACGACAACAGCCCTGACACTCAAACTACCGTCTTTCCTCATCCGAACCACTTAACACACCACTACAGAGCTATCTACAGTGCTCAAGTGAATGCCTACCATCAATCTCTTATCACAAGGTTTCTAAGACGAGAACCAGCAGCTGCCTTACGAGACACATGAATGGGGATGAGGCAGATGATGGGACAGTGGACGAGAATGTGGATGAGGTGTTACAGCATAAAGGGTTGGAGTTTGAAGGCTACAAGGATGTGTTGTGAGATCCAGCAGCTGGTAGGGGTGGAGCAGGGGGAGGGGGGAGCAGGGAGCCAGTAACGACGGCTCCCTGCCTCGGATCACAGAAGATAATCACATCAAACTGTTCAGCGATTGTGTCAAGGTTGGTACGTACTATACTGTACAGTACTGTAATCACCTGTACAGGTACTTGTTGTATAAGTGTGTCTGAACAAGTGATTGGGATCTTTAGGGGTGGTTTTAAGGGGTTATTGAGGTGATGAAGTGGCAGAGCCGGTACCATTTACCATTTAATACATACATATTGCACACCACTTTTGTGATTTTCAGCTTCGCGGCAAAAATCACAGTATGAGTTAGGCGTGAAAGTGGTGATCCTACTGTACTGTATTTCTTTTTTGCATAAGACCATTTTTTTTCTTTATAGTTAAGCAATGTTAAACACTTTCACTTTAACATACAGAAAAATTATCACATGCCGAGCTGAAACTGTTCCCGTTTGACTTTAGCCTTGCCCACATCAACTTTATTTACTGAGTATGTGTATGTATTTTCTCAAATCATTCCTCTGAATCTCTCCACCACATTCATTTTCTTCAGCTTGCTAATACTTTTTACCCATTTTTCGATTTCTTGATTTTATTTTCATTATGAGACTTATTAAATGGAGGATGGCAAGTGACTTTAGTCATTGTAAGTAGTAATATCTCCGTTAGCCAGAATCCCTCAAACCCGGAACTCTCCGATAGCTGGAATTGAAATTTTCTTGGAAAATCGTTCCCAATGCCGTAATTTTCCGGAAAATTCCGGCTTAGGGAAAGGTTTTTTGGGGGGCACATTTTCTGGAAAATTCTGAGAAAAATGTCCCGGTCCCCGGAAAATTCCGGGGATAGGGGATTTTTTCCGGGTTTGAGAGATGAAAATCAGGCCCATTTTCTGGAAATTCAGAGAAAAGGCTACCCAGAAAATTCCGGGGATGAGGGATTGTTTTAGGGTTCGAGAGATGATGTAATGGGAAATTTCTGGAAAGTCCGAGAAAATTTTTCCGTAACCCGGAAAATTACGGGGATGAGGGATTATTTTCTTGGCTTTGAGAGAGTCGTCTCGTTACCCGGAAATCTCTCATTCCCTGAAGTGCTCTGCACCAGTTGTTCCGGCTAATGGAGGTATCACTGAAATACTTATAATAATGGCTGTTGTTTTCATTATAGACTTTTTTCCACAACTTGAAAATGTTAATTATATCTTCAATCCTCTCCAACTACAATAAACATACTGTCTATACTGTACTTAAATGATTTAATAATGTTTAATAAGTACACTTTTAAACAGAAGATAAATTTATGAAATGTGTGGAGCCTTTTTTTAGTCATATTTGCAAAATGAAGCAAATGATGCTTTGAGGTGACAGGAAGTGTTATAATATAGGAGCAGTAAGCAACCGACCTTCAGGAGCTCCTGCTGTTTTGGCTGCTGCTGCCCCAGCAGCTGCTGCTGGATCATCTGTACTTGGAGGAGCGGAGAGTGATGGAGAGTCAGAGTCAGCAGATGACCAGGTGATGGACACAGAGGACGGAGCAAGTGAGGCGTGGGGAGGTGCTGGAGTAGAAGACACGTGTCCGCCTAATGCGCGTATACTCATTATTGAACCATTCTATGGAGGATCTCACAAGCAGCTTATCACATGTCTTAGAAATGGTATGTTGATAAAGAGATAACAGAAAGGTTCAGGATACATCTATTATTACTATTCAATATTATCTTGTCCAAAATATATAAAAATATACAGTTTTTAAATTACAATTACAAATATTTATATCATGTAACTGTTATTTGGAATATGATAGGACAGCGGTGCTACTGTATTAGGTCATAATTTGTTCAGAAAGACCTAAGAGAAATTAAAATCAACCCAGATGAGTCTGTGATTGGGAGTGAGGATGCAGCACTGTTCACCCTTCCCAGCAAGAAGTGGCACTGGCGGGCACGCACTGCTGCACTGTACTTCTACCAGAAAATACCTCTCACCCATGACTTTAAGGTTGATATACTAGAACAGAGTTCAAAATTTTATTAGCTATACTCTTTATTTTAGGCTCTATTATACAACAGTTTCACTTAGAGTCACTGTCAATCTTCTAAGTCTTTTAAGGTCAGCTGTTCTGAGTTGCAATATTAAAGAATTTAATTTTTAAGGATAATTTTTTCAATCATAATTTTGTCATTCGTGTTGGATTGCTTTATATCAGAACTTTGTAATTAGAAGATTAGATCACTGTTTTGGTAGACTGTGTCCCTCCCTCTAGGCTTCACACCTTAGTACACTTGGATGGATTGTTCTCTTATAGCACCTTATTCATGCTCATTACTATGATACAGTATTGTTATACAGTGACCCCTCGTTTAACGAACGCCTCGGTTAACGAAATTTCGGTTAATGAACTGCCTTCCATAAGGATCTTCAATTCTGTTAACGAACAAAAATTCGGTTAACGAATTTCTTACGAACCGACCTCAACATGTTTTCGCTTGCACTGACCGGACAACCAGCTTTAGTATCAGTCCGCCAATACATTAATCTGTTCTAGGGCTTAAATTCCTTACTATTTTAGCAAATATCAAGAAGTTTATACAATTCAATAATTTTAAAAGTTTAATATTCAATTTTTTAGTCATTTTAACAATTATTGAACATAATTGAAGGTAAAGTGACTAGTTTAATGCGCGGCATCCAGCCTCTTAACACAGCAAACAGGCGTTAGTCTCTCTCTGTTTTCACTGGAGGTAACATCTTGCTTGAGACTCTCTTCAACTAAACGCTTTTTTTTTCTGTGTTTCCAAGCAAATTATTGGTCATTTTGAAATATATTTTACATATTGACAATATATAATGCAGTGCAGTGTTGATTTAAAGAAAATAATCTTGAAATACACCAAGAGAACTAAAATTTTATGGGTGAAATGGTTCCATGGGGTGACTTCTCTTCCACCCCAATGCCTTCTCTTCTTCCTTCTCCTCCACCCCCATTCTAATTCCCATCATCATCTTCATCATCCAGGAGCCTTCTACATACACACCTCAAAGTAAGTGAACTTTTCTACCATTTTTGTTGAATTTAGGAAATTTTCGGTGAGCTGGAACCAATTACCCAAAAACCCATTGAAACAATGGTTTCAGTTAACGAACTTTTCGGTTCACGAACGACCTTCTGGAACGGATTGAGTTCGTTAACCGAGGGGTCACTGTATTTATTTAGTTAAGAATGATGTAACTTAGAAAAAAATACAGTAATCCTTCCATTAGGACCATTAGCCGGAATCTTCAATCCCTGAAACTCTCCAATACCCAGAAATTTATTTTTGAGCATTCCAAGAAATTCTGGGAAAATCTCTGTTCTGAGGACTGGTACCGTATTCAAAAGAATTTCCAAGAGATTATATCATGCACTAACACATGCCTAGCACGTGGGTGTGTAGGCTCAGAGTGCTCATGAGCTATGATTGGCTACTACTGTCATGTGACTGCTTGGAATGCCTATGATTGGCTGATGTATCTTGCGGCCTATATCCTCAAACTTTATCATCGTGACACTATTAATTCATTGTGTACTGCCATGTTATAAGCTTGTTTGCTTGCTCATTGCTGTTTTTGCATACGATCTGTGTTGTGCAGTACTATACATTGCTGTACCAGGATATAGTCAGCCAAGAATACTCTTAAAGCAGTGTTAAGATGTAAAAGTTGATTATACGTACTGTAGTTATGTATAATGTACAGTACTTTACATTCACTAAGTGTGAAAGTACTGTACATACACTACTGTACATAGCAAAGTGGACAGTGTATGCCTACTGTAGACTAGTGTGTAGAGGTTTATTTACAATATACAGTGCGACTGTGTGTGTATAATCCTTCCTTCATGGAAGGGAAGAGAATGACAGTTAGCAACACTTGCTGTAGGACAGGCAGACCATCCTGTATCATCATATCACCATTTGGCCTGCTTGCATCACAAACACAGCATGACAGTATATTTTTTTATTACAATATACTGTACATGTACAGTAGTGTTTGCATAAATAAATACAGCTTTGTTGCTATCTGATTGCCGTACAGCGTGGAAACTTTCACCTGCGCTCGGAAAAATTCCGGGGATGTGTGATTTTATTATGGGCACAAGGAAATTTGTCGCAATGCCCGGACTGCTCTATACATTTTATTCTCACTAACTGGGAGATTACTGTATTAACGTGAATAGGTAGTTAAATTGATAGACAGATGATTAGAAATTATAGTTAAGATTATAATATAAATGTTTTTGTTTATTTTAGACTTTGTTTGCTTCCTCTACACTTAACCTATGTGAGCTGGTTGGTCTGCGTCCAGACTTAGGCAGACTACGAAAAATATTGTACTTTCATGAGAACCAACTTGTTTACCCCGTCCGGAAGCAGAAGGATCGAGATTTCCAGTATGGATATAACCAAATATTATCTTGGTAAGTGGTGAGAGGTGGATCTGAGGCTCATCACTGACAGTTTTCTGAGTCACATGCAGACATACTTCGCTATACATTACCTTTTTTATTCTTGTATACATTGTTGATGGATTGGAGAAAAAAACTTGCCCCCCAAAAGAAAAGAAAAAAAATACGACATGTACACAACTGTCATGAAATGCTGAACAACTGCCTAATCCCTCTACTGCAGTCATATAAGCTTGTGTAAGTTACGCACAATAATATTTTCTTCTAGCACATTTTATTAAAGCACAACAGGTACAGTATTAATATTTTAAATAAATTGCTATTTTGAGTGCAAAGCCCAAGATGTTTAGATATTTAAATATTAGTCTATTAATTACATATTGGTAACCAGAGGGTTTTGTTTGCCAAAGACAGCCACATTGAGCTTTTGTAAGGTACTCACTAATGTTTCCTTCAAAAACTTTCACTAAAAAACTTTTACTACTGTACTGTACTGGTATAATTCATATAATAAGGTATTTATACAGAAATCCATACACTACATATTGGTAACTGGAGTTTTTGGTTCATTTTAGATACGTAGTGTACAGCTTAATCAGGTTTATGTAAGGTAACACACGCTGATTGTCCCTATGTTCATACCAAAGGAACATAACAAGTTACTGACCAGTGACATTATCTGCTACAAGGAGCTGTTAAAACATGAGAAGGAAGCAGCCCAGTTGTCTTTGGACCAGTTTCATAAACATCTGTCCTTAGGTAAAGAGGCAGAATCTTGCCATTTTGTCTCAATATTTTCATCACTCCCTACCCCAGCCAGCCTCTATACACAATCTCCTCAACCATCTTGGGTATAGTTTGTATCCAAATATTTATTTCAACTTCTATGATATAATTTGGCTATTTTATTAATATTTTACCGAGAAGTTTTTGATCAGAAATATCCCCCTTGAACAAAATACCTATTTATATCATTAAGTTTATTGTATGGCTAACTTGTCTTCACTGTACCTTTTGTCACTTAACATCACACTCTTCAAGAACACTTGTCCAATGTATAGCGAGGTATACCTGTATTGTGGGAAATGGAGTGATTTGGAACATTTCTGTTCAGATTAACAAGGACAGGACTCAAAAACATTTTTATCCTGTTAATGATGTAGGAACTGAATAAAGAATGGTTGTAGTTGTATCAGAAATGCAGAGATTATTACACGCAAATAATTTTAAATTGTTTTTTCACTAGCCTGGTAGCCGATGTAATCGTATTCAACTCGCAATACAACTTTGAATCCTTTTTGCGTGAACTTCCCCGTCACCTCAAACTGCAGCCTGACCACCGGCCTGATTCTCAGGCTATCACCCAGACCATCAGGGATAAGAGTCAGGTAAGCTGGATGGTCTTGTTAATGCTACTGGGTATATAGTCCAGGGTCCACTGACCTAATCCTGAATACTGTCATCAAGAAGATTATCTCTAATCACCACCGTATCTCACCTCAGGAGACAGATCATGTGACCTGATTCCTTAGTTCTACGTCTTTCCCATTTGCTTTGTTCTGTTAGTTGGCTGAAGAAGGTCCTAGTATACCAGCTCCAAAATTTCATCTTTTATTTCTTCATTGTGGGTTTTACTTCATTTACCAGTGTAACCATTACATTTTCGGAATACCATCTATATTTTATCAGCTCACCTTGCATTGTGTTACATTTATTTATTACTGTATTATTTACTTTATGATTACTGTATGAACATTTAAAAAAAATTATATATGCACAATAATTATAAGTACTGTAGAATATTTTATGTGGCAACCAAGGCAACTTTTCAGAACTGCTCGGTTATTGCAGATTCATTCCGAATTTAAATCATTTAATTCATTTTTCAAAAAACATACGAATTTAACCGAAATCCAAAGTACTGTATAACGACCCAAATTAATAAGGATTCAGTGTACACTGTGAACATTAGTGATGTTCTCTCACTAAGTAAAAAAAACCTACCCAAGATAAGTAACAATACCAATACTAACTCGTAAACATTGAGTTACATGATCGTGGCCATGTACGCTCACCAGGGAACAAACTTAACAATGTTTGGTATACATTATTACTGTAGCAGTTCACTCAGAACCTCTACATGATCAGAAATGTGTCCGAGTTTTCAGACGAAACAAAAACGTGTACTGGATATACTGCATCAATCTAAATGGAACTAATTGAACTCAAAGAAAATGTGACCTTGAAAGAGGAGGTTGGTGATAGTGGTCTTGTCACTTTCTAGACACAGTACGTGTTTCCAGCTGGTTCTCATCTACATAAAGTTGTATTGCATATCCTTATAATGTTTGTCTCCACTTACTGCTGTGAGCCTGCTTCCTCCACCATGAATTTAGTGAGGAACAATATTGCTCCAACATTACCTTCATCATTGTCTTAGATTAGCTTTCATACTATTTGTACCAAAGTTCATTGATTTGTCAAGAAGCTCAAAGTGTTTTATTATGTTAGAGTTAGTTCATTATTTTATTCATCTCCCAGGGTCCCTCTTCAACAAGAAAGGGATGGAGGGGTTACTTTTGACCCGACTGTACATATGACTTTTTTTTTTACAGGGAACAAGTTCATCTCTTTAACTCATTTACATTGTCAACACATTATGAGATTAAAATAGCATGTAGTCAGCAATAAGTCATAATGTGTACAGTACTCATATTTGTTTGTTACTACATCATTTTAAATATAGCCTTTCATACAGATCTTTGCCTCCTGGGAAATTTGTGTGACTGGACCTTCAGAAATAGTAATAGAGTAACTCTGTCATATAGATACTGTATTACTGTACCTTATTCTTATTCTTAACACCTTTTGGCTCCTTTTATACAATTGGGAGCCAGCGAAAACTTCAGCCCTAAATGTGCCACTGTTTCCCATGATTGCTGGTTAGAGTATGGGTCAGGTAACTTTTTTTCCTTAATTTTGCTTGGCTTGATAGCTTAGACCATGGTAAATTTCAAACCAAGCCCTTTGGTCACCCATTGAAAATTATAATTACCTGGTGCTATAATCAAGAAATACAATGGAGTATGCCTTCCCCAGGCGTCATGCGATTTGTTTGATATGTTTTTTGTCCACAGTTCCTGGACTGATGACGACATTGTTTACATCTGTGAAATGCTCCCATGCCTGTCATACTTATGCTTCAATATTAAGCCAGTCAGTCTCTGTTTTATTAAAAAAAATATTGGTGTTTTAGAACTATTTAAAAATATGGCAGAAGTTTGAGATTGAATCATTCTTCACTCTTTTAAGATGTTGCTTATACTGTATTGGCTTACATCCCTCAACTTAGTATTCCATAACTCATCCATCATCATTTTTCCTCAGCAATTCTCCTGTTATTTAAGCTACATGTTTAATTACTTTTCCTAGTCATTAGCTAAACCTATTATGTCTCTCTGAATCAATTGTTAGATCTCTGTTGGCTTCCCATTCAAAATTAGACCTCCATGGCTTTTTCTGTCATTCAGTAGCCCCCTTATCTGAAACACTGCAGTGATTAATGTTAATAAAATTTAAAGACAACTGTAACTTCCAGGTAATCTACTTCCCAGTAAACATCTCTCACAAAACTCGTTGCCCCAAGGATGCCCTGGAACCCCTTCACATCATCTGGCCCCATCGCTGGTAAGATATGTCTTGTTTGGAGTTTCTCCTTAAGTGTCTCCAGGAGAATTGCTTAAGTTATAGGTCACCCTCTGTTTTTACTATACAAACAGATATAGTGTTATCTTTGTCCTGGGCTTTCTCTTGGGGGATGGGGGGGTTTACTTGTGTACAAAGAAATGTATATTCCCCCTATGTGTTTGCCCTTAGGAAAATATTTTCTTTTACCTGTATTGTATATAATTCTGTAGTGGTGTTTTTATCACAGTTATAACACCACCATCCTCTCTTATTCCCCCCAGGGAGCATGACAAGGATCCAGCCACCATGTTTCAAGTTCTCTTTCAACTAGCAGAAGCAGGATTGAATTTCCGTGTATGTGTTTTGGGCCAGTCTTACACAGAGAATCCCCCGGTGTTTGTCGAGGCTCGTCAGCGACTTTCAAATTTCATCACACACTGGGGTTATGCAGAAAGCAAGGAGAAGTAAGAATTAGTTATATAATTTTATATCAACACTCAATACTTTTATCTATTTATGGATATGAACATGAGATCACTTTCTCTTCTGGTCCATACAGCTTTTGTCCTGTCTTCATCATGTTCACAAATGGCTCATTTTCTTGTACAACTTTGTTGTTATATCTCATCTAAATTATCATAATTTACCACCTCAAGGAAGTCCATTCTGAGTGGGTGGCCATGACAGAAGAGCTTCCAAGCCACCTTATCTCTATATATCTCCTACCTGTATCCACACAATTCTTATTTTCTGTTCTCTTCAATCTCCCCTAACCGGTGCATTTACTATAGTGTGTCTGTGTATGGTCTTTATCATCCTCTTCTTTGGGATCCTTCTAACATGTCCTTAATAAATACCAGTTTTGTGTAGTGAAGCTGATCAAGTAATGTATTCATATTGCATTAAGGTTCTCAGGAAATATGTGGACAGATTTAAAAATGTTTAAAAGTTAATGAAAGGTTCATGATGAAGAAGACTCAGAGAAAGGAGAAAGTTATAATAGTTAATGAACTGAAGAATGAGAATGTAGCTGGAAGATTAAAAGTGATACAAGAATATCTCTCATATTTAATTTTTTTCCAATTATTACCAAATTTATAGAATATATTTTGTAACAGCAAAACATTACAAATTAATAGTGATTTCTGATTTGAGGTGTGAAAATTATTAATATTAGTATTTTTATTTTATTTTTTATACTGTACAGTCCCCATCACTGGTACGTTTACAGGGACTCATCTTATAAACATTCCAGATATAATTCCGTTCCTGAAAACCGCGACGTAAATGGAAACAACGTTAACGGAATAAATTTTCCCCATAAGAAATAGATAAAATACGGGAGTTACGTTTCCCAGCCTCTCTTTGTCCCATAAAAATACATTACATATACAGAAATTCAATGGCATTTTTATAGAAAATAGTATACCCGGTATACAGTGGTCCCTCGGTTAACGAACTCAATTCGTTCCAGAGGGTCGTTCGTTAACCAAAAATTTCGTTAACCGAAACCATTGTTTCAATGGGATATTGGGTAATTGGTTCCAGCTCACAGAAAAGTATATACAAAGTAAAGCCAAAAACGCATAAAGTAATGTGATACAGGTGATTAATTTTATCTCTTGTGCAAAATATATGACGTTTATATTCAAATTATTCGCTGTCTTGCAAGGATTCAAGCAATGCAAATTATGTTCTAACTTTCGTCTGAGATATTATATAAGATAAAAACTGTAAGCCTAGGGGGTAGATGGGGGAGAGGGAGGGAGGTAGTGTGAGGGGGGTAGTGGGAGGTGAGGTGGTATGGTTTGACAGTTGGCTCTGAGAGGTCTAGTGAAGTATTTATTTGTTTATTTATTTCCTTTAGATTGAGTTTTTGTTTTTTGCTTATAAAATTTCATAGATGTGACCGGGGACAATATAATTTACATTGCTGGAATTCTTATAAGATAATGATTAATTTGAATGTAAACATGCCATAGTTTGCACTAGACAAAAATTTTAGTAATCATTTTGTACATTATTCTGATTACATGTACAGTTCAGCTTTGTCCATAGGACAGTGTGTTCATGTAAATGAATTTCAATAAATGAATAAAGTTACATATATCGAGCCAAAAATAATAGTTGAAAAACTTTATGTAGACAGCTTGGATGGCTAAATTTTAGAATGACCAATAATTTTAATACTGTATAAAAAATGCACAAATATTAAAGAGCACAATTTTCTTTATATTTACTCCATTGGAAACAAATGTAAACATAGTAGAGATTACTGAATTGGCTGAGTACCTCCTCAGCTTATCAGCTGATGTTCAAAATAAAACGTGATTTTCGTAAGGATTTCGTTAATCATTTTTTTTTCGTTAACCGAATTGAAGATTCTTATGGATGGTAATTCGTTAACCGAAATTTCGTTAACCGAGGCGTCACTGTATATAAATAAACTAAATCATTTTGTTTTGTACTCACTGATGGACGGAGGTGTGGAACGAGTGGTGGGTAGTGGAGCGGAGGAGGAGGGTGGTGAGTCACTGAGACCCGGGGGGGGTGGCTCCTCCTCTTGGTTTAAAACCTCCATTTTCGTAGCAAGGCTATTGGTCTTACGTTGCTTCTTCACAACACTAGCATCAGTAGCACTTGATGGGCTCTTGGAAGCCATTTCGACTGGTTAGAGTACATTATTAAGAGCAAAAACACTTAAACATGCATGAACGCTGTGGTAGCTTAACAAAGACTGGCGACGCTCCGTGCCAAGATGAGAGAGGAGGATGCGTCGTACAAAGTAATCCGTGACGACGTTATACTGAATCGGCGGAACGTTATCCAAATCATGGGTATCTAAAGAATAGCAACATTATAACGAAACAACGTTATCGGGGGCAACGTTAAACGAGGACTTACTGTATGTTTACTATTGCAAGTTTTTTCTGTCAGATGTAAGCAAACACAAGGCTGCCACACTGCACAAAACCTGATGAGCCCTTGTAAACACACTAGTGAAGGGGACTGTACATGTGTTTCCATGACAGAAAGCCCGTAAGGTATAACTTGGGTTGTATAATATGTTAATTGTCTAAGTTGTCTTACATTATATTTTTCATTATATTCTATTCCTGTATGCATGCATATTCAGCATCAAAATAAATGAGCTGTTAGTGTAAGCTGTATTGAGTATAATAGATAACGTATACAGTAGTCCTTCGCCAACCACAGATTTACCATCTGCGGATTTCGGGTGTCCACTGTTTTTACTCTGTATACCATTTCACTAACCGCGGCATTGAATTTTGAGTATTTGCAGTTTAATGTGGCATCATTTCCCCTCTTGTGTTCCAATGTATTCATCTGTAAATGTGTGGAATGAATAAAATTAATACTAATAAATAAAATAGAAGAAAAAATAATGCATTGCTATTTGGGAATTATTTCACTTAGGGCACAGGAGATAGGAGCGCGCTCCCATCTCCTGTGATCGTAGGCTAACTCTCGCTGATGTAAGAAATGTTTATTATTTTTAATTTTTTGACCTTAAGATAATCATTTCTTTAATTTTATTTATTTTTTTATTTATTTTTTACAAATTCTGTATGAACGATTGTGTGTGCATGTAACAGTAAAAAAAAATAAAAATAAAAGTACTTATATATCTACCTGAAAATACAAGTTGAAAAATAACAATAACATGCCTTGGCCTGTCTAGGGGGAGAGCTAAGGGGATGTACTTACAGGGACAGTTTAACTTGGTGACCTGCTAAGTGTCCCCCCCACACACACACACACACACACACACACACACACACACTTAATTTTTCTTATTTTATAGCAACATGCCGTCTCGACGGAGATGTACTGTACTGTAAAATTTATATTACTATTTCATTTATATTAAGCTGTTTTATATGTATTATTTATTGAAGGGAGAGGCAACTTAGGCTTTGATGAGTGTCATTCACAGCCATGGATCTTAACCCCCTATTTCCCATTAGCCTTGCTAACCACAGAGTTTTTCTGGAACCTAACCCCCGTGGTTGGCAAGGGACTACTGTATTGGTTGTTTATTTTAATTTATACTACACTTCCATCTGCAATTATATAAACTTTTTTTTTAGAAATTTGAACAAAGTAGATTGTATAGGTAGTAACATGCAAAAAGTATGAAAATACCATAAGGGCCCCTAAAATTATTCCTTGACCTGGACTTCTTTTATCCTAAGGTTGGCCTTGATGACAGTCGTCGGTTTTAGACTAAACACACTGATGATAAGATTTTCATTGGCTTCAATGGCAATATATGAAATTACTTTTCTTTTTTGTCACTTTTTCTCTAGTAGTCCTCAATACATGTTTTGATGAAGAGAAAGTGTAGACACAATTTCTTATATTTAAAAAAATTCCCTCTGTATTTATTCATTTGCATACAATTTCATTTGAAGTTGAGTTTTCCCGACTGCACTGACTAAAACGATTTCAATTATATATCAGAACTGCACCCAATACCAAGTACAAAGCAGTAACAAATGCCTGCTATAATTAATGCACCAGTCCAGAGTCCATGCACCATCAACTCCACAAGTGATCTGCCAGGCTAACGTTAAGACAGGAGACTTAAGTCACCAGACGTCTCACCCGTATTGAACAGGAACCCGATGATGCAATTGAGTGCTCAGCAACATTCTCTCAGTGGTGAATATGTATCATTATTTTGATACTTATTTTTCAAGTCAGTTCTCTTCTAGATTTTGATGCAATTTGACATTTAAATATTAATTTTTCCTTTTGGCTCCACCAGACACTGTAGTAACAGGCATTGCACCACATCCCCACCTGACACTATATTGGGGCTTTAGATTCATAGAAAACTTGGGTTGTATTTGAATTAGGAGACTAAACTTAACTCCCACTGTGCACTTTATGAATACATTACCATTATATCCCCATAGCATCTACTGCTGTAAAAATCATTAGTTGCACCATGCTAAATACTGACAGACACCAAATTGTTGGAAGTTGTCCAGTCTTTGTTACCTTAGGGTACCTAAGCCTGACTGGTCCATCAAAAAAATGCCCAAACCCCCAATTAGCCAGTCCATCAACTGTTGAGGTGTATGTGTGATAAAATATTTATATATTCTATAAATATTATATATTACTGTATATAAATATCTCCGTTAGCCGGAATCCCTCAAACCTGGAACTCGCCGATAGCCGGAATTGAAATTTTCTCGGAAAATCGTTTCCAAAGCCGTAATTTTCCGGAAACTTCTGGCTTTGGGAACTATTTTTCGAGGGGCACATTTTCCGGAAAAAAAAATTTCCCGCTACCCGGAAAATTCCGGGGATGGGAGGAGTTCTTTTCCGGGTTTGAGAGATGAAAATCAGGCACATTTTCTAGAAATTCCGAGACAATTTTTCCGTTACCCGGAAAATTCTGGGGATGAGGGATTTTTTTCCGGGTTCGAGAGAGGCGTCTCGTTACCCAGAAATCTCTCATTCCCGGAAGTGCTCTGCACCAATTGTTCCGGCTAACGGAGATATCACTGTATTATATAAATGTTATAAAGACCCCAAGCTCTACAAATACATTTCTTTGCATCTTCTAGTTACGGAAGCAGATGTGAAATTACTGGGGATGCTCTGTGGAGATATACTTGTATAATGTACAGTATATGAGAGAAAGGTTGAACTTTTGTTTATTATTTTCCAAAAAAATGATTGTTACAAAATGTGACGATCATTGGTATACATTTCTTCTCCAAAACTCTTTTTCAGATATTGGGAATTGTTGCACTCAGGAGATGTGGTAGTGTCAACAGCGCACCATGAGTTCTTTGGTGTTGCCATGTTAGAAGCAGTTGGGGCCGGTTGCTTCCCAATATGTCCCAACAGACTGGTTTACCCAGAAATTTTCCCTCAGGTACAGTACAACAGAGAGATGAAATGTCTCTAGTGTTCTGAGTAGGAGGTAGTCTCCAGCTTGTTGATATATGGTTTGAGCTTCTCTTTCAGTATATTTTTAAAATGTACAGTAAATTAAGGTCTTAAAGAGGATATCATGCCTATATGCTTGCCTCCCTCCTTCCCTCCCTCAGGAGTGCCTGTACAATACAACACAGCAACTTCAGAAGAGCCTTGCCCAGTGGTGTACGCGCCCACAGTTGGTTCGTTCTAAAAAGGTCAACTTGGATCTCAATACCTTCTCGTGGGCAACCTTAAAGCAACGCTATGTCAACCTGCTGTCATAAAAGATGATGAGGGTCACACCGCACTCACAACAAAACTCCTGGTACGACACCGCCTACGCCAAAAGGGCTTAGAGGCCTTTGTTCTTATACCTGTACACTAGTTCTTGGTAGGTAGTGAGGGATAGTCTTAAGTTTACTCTGATGGTGTTGAATGATGCAGTCAACACCACACAAACAGTTGACGATCTCATTATTTCCCTGGAAGTACCTGACTACCATTTAGCAGGTAACCTGAACTGAGCAAAAAGCTTGAGTGTATTACCAGCTGACCACCCGTTGTTCCATTATATACAGTGCAGTATAAACAGTCCTCTTGCCGTTACATTATGTTATGAATGGACCATCTGTAGTAACGTGAACTGACTTCATCATACAACATTGTGTTATGACTAATTTGATACAGCAGTTTATCATGAGCTAACCATCTAAAAGAATATAACATCAAAAGTTAACTTATTAAATACTTCATAGTTCTGTTAGCTTATGCAACAGTTTGTCATGACTTCTACTACCTGGCGGCGCAACAGTTTAGGTCATATGCTGCCATTATCTGACACGAGAATGAGTCTGGAGGGCATATGTGTATGTTGTGAGAGATTATCTTTATCTATTACTAGGGGGTTACAACACCTAGGTAAGTTTACAGCTAGACATGAAAGTTATATAAATGCTATAACATGAAGGAGCTTATATATTTATTTTATTTATTTAAATATTTTTTTGTGAAGGATAGTAGATTATGTTGATCTATTAGAAGGATAAACACTATATGATGATGTTATTGTGAAAGTGTCATAATCACTGCCAATATTTCATGGGTCACATTTAAGAAGACGTCAGTGTTCTGTGACAAGATAGGCCACATCTTTTTGTTTGTTCTAGCACTAGGCATCTGAAAACTGTTAGGAAATCGCCAGAATTAATTATAAATTACCGGTAAGTGGAGTTGTGGAGGAGTGTTTGGTGGAAGTATTTGTGTTCCTCAGGTAAAGCTAATGTATGTAACTACAGCTGGAAAACACTTTTTAAACCTCAAGCATTTTTGGGGTAACTTTAATTGACTTGTAAGTCTTCCCATATGAGGGACTTAGTGAGTGACTACTTTTTATTAATGTGTCTCTTTACGTGCTATCATGATAGGTAAGGTCAAAACTATATTTTGCTGTTGTGGTTAGTGGTGTATCAACACCTCCAAGTGTCACAAACAATGTCATGATGGTATGTACAGTATATGTACTTGTAAGAATAAGCCATTTTTGTATATTAACCTCTTCAGTGGTGAGTGTAATTTAGAGTGGCTTTTTGAAAATGTCATAAAAAACTAACAAGTATTGTGGTTATCAGTACGGTAGGAATATTTCTGGAACATAATTTTCACCAGAAGTCCATTTCTTATCACTCAGATAAAAATGAAGGTGAGGGGTTACCCTACTCTCTCCCAGCTACACTACAAACTACTTGGTGACTAGTTGATGACTTTGAGATTTATAAAGTGAAGTAGTATTACTCTCATCAGATTGATCCTGAGTTATGATGATATAATTGCATGGACTCCCTGGTCAGAAAGATTGGCAGTCTGTACCCACAAACACCTTGATAAGCTAACTTGTAATGGTAATGTACGAGGTAACATATTTATGACTCCTGAGTTATGTTTTCAAATGTATAAGAATTTTGTAGATGAGAAATAGGATTACATGAGTTTGATATGTGGTTGGATGAAATTAGTCTTAGTTTGACAGTGTCACCAATGAAGAGGAGAGGGGTATTGTCAATTTAAGTTCTCACCACTAAAGGGGTTAAAGATAGCAGCAGAATCATGTGATGCACCACTTTACCTTTCTTGTTCTTGGGGAATATGTTAGCTCTTTTGGAAAAATTTCCACAAATTACTGTTTTACTTCAATTTTTAAGCTTCTGTTTATGTATATGGGTTTTTTACCTAAGAAGATCTTGGAGTCATAAATAACTTGAGGTGTATCATCAGTAATTAGCCTTACTGAGATTTTGTACTGCATAAGGACAATGATACAGGTAAATGTTTGATATACATACATGCCCACAACATGAGTTTCCCTTCATCATTAACATGTTCTTAGTGCTTGCTCTTGCAAACTCATTCACTAACATTTGTAAATTTTGTGAATCGCCAGCAAGGATGGTATCATAATGCAGACATAAACTGTTTCACCTCCCCTTTATAAATTGCAGTCATAATTATCATTAGAAACAAAAAACAATAAGCAAAACAATAATTCCCAGTAGATGTAGATGGAAACATGTTGTGAGCAGTTTGGAAAGATATTAAGTTTATTAACTGGTTGTAATGAGCAGATGGTGACTTGTTTAGGCTTAAATGAATGATACTTGTTAGATCATACAGCTGTGGCCAGTAACACTGACATCATGGAGCCACCAGTGTGACCAGTAACGGTTCCCATTGTATGACTTATATTTTGCCCAGTAACAAATGATAACGTAGTCAGTAAGACTGCCAGTTATTAACATGCACCACCACAACCTCCTCAATGTAAAGTTAAAAGATTTACTTCCCAAACAGAATAAGGGTTTGGTGGAAAATTAAAAAAAAATCATAGATATTTGGAACTGAGAATATTTTTGCACCCCCATCCTAACACTGTTAAACAATGTATAGAAGACATGCTCAACTATATTTATAAAGATAGGTATTAAAGTACATAATGTTGTCTTTCAAAGGATGGCAATATTTTCCCCTAAGAAGATCAGTCTATTGGGAGCTTGGTGATGGTAGCTCATACACATTATACTCACTGAGCCTCTGTCCATACTGGTTCATTCTTTTCTCAGAATATTGCCATTAGTATTGCTGCTTTATCCCTTTATTATAAAAAACAAAAATTCATGCCATCATATTTTGTGAGCAATATTCCCACATGTCTTTGTTCCATAATTCATTTTTCCAAGTTTACAGCTGTGTGATGCCTCACACATGATGCTTAGAATACTAAAGTCAGCATACTTTCAGGTGTTTTAGAGTAAATTACTCAAAAATTTCTTTCTTATAACATTGTTGGGTTTGTTTTTGAGGGGACAAGTCATAACCTTTGTCTGTGATTACATTATCTACTACACTATAATTTATAACTATCATCTACTACCATGGAGGTAGAATAAGGGTGGCGGCGGCATCCGCTCAGAAAAGTGAGGTCACTATGAGCTGCCGGCGGCCATATTGTGGTTGGCAAAAGTGGCTCGGTCGCGGCTGTGTCCCGCCAGTTAACAGTCACCAGCTCACAGGTGCACATGTTTCTCTTTGTGTGTATAACATAAAAATGCCAGTATCGTGTCCTGCTTATGGATGTACTGCTAGGTTGGACAAGACCTTAGTTCCTCATCTTACATTTCATCAGTAAGTAATTTCTTAAATGATATACAGTGGGGTATGCTATAACGAATCTAATTGGTTCTAGAACCTCGTTCGTTATAGGATTAATCCGTTCCAGGCCCCCAAATACAACCACTTAACACTGAAAAATTTCTGTGGAAATTGTAAAAAATACGGTACTTTATCTTACCTTAGTGTTGTTAGTATGCAGGACAGGAGGCAGAGGAGGAGGGGAGAGGAGAGCATTATGGAGAAGAGGTGGAAGGAGAGGAGTCATCCTTCCTAGCCCTCTTTGGTGACTGTCTTACAGGCACTTTGTCTGTTTATTTATAATTTCTTTCTTAGTTTCAAAGGTTATTAGCTTTCTCACTCGCTTTTGACGATTCATTGTTACAATTGTACACTTGTATAACAAAATAGTTATAAAAATAACACGAATTTCCATATCAAAAGACGAAAATTCAACAAGTTCAGTGGTGCACTGACTACACAATGAACCAATATGGCGCCTGACGCTCTTTATGTGAGCCGCGGTACAACAATATTCATGCGCCAGACGAAATAGTCCTGTATTCATCCGCGTTCATTGTAGGAGTTGTGTTCGTTATAGCATTCTCAATTTTATAGGTAAAACCGTTCGTTATAGGAATATTCGTAGTAGAATCTGTTCGTTATAGCATACCCCACTGTAGAACTAAGTATAAAGTGAAAAAAATTTGCGATTATGTGGCAAGCTTGTGTAACCAGTTACAGTGCATACATCTCCTCAACCCTTCTCGTTTTAAGGGCTATTTTAAATATACAGTAGACAATCTGTGCATGCACTGCATATAAGTGAGATATAAATCATGTGACAAGAGGGATTATATTAAACTATTCACTGATAGAGATGTCATTATTGATGGAAAAAAATATGTAAGAATATTTCTTAGATTTTAATTTGTTTGAGCTTAAAAACGTCCTGCTTCATAGCAACATCAGCCATATAGCATTCAGTATTAATACATACAGTGGAAATTGATATTGTTTCTTAACATAAAAAATTAAGCTTACCCGGTATGCATATTGCCAGCCATGTGTGGTATGTCGCAGTAAAGATCATTGTGTCTCAGGATACTATAATTTTTTTTTCTTAAAAGCTTTCATTCTAGAAGTAGTTTTTCTCTCTTAATTTGCAGTTTTCCTAAAGATGAGGCCTTAAGACAGGAATGGGTTCGGGCAACAAGACGTGAAAATTTTGTTGCATCTAAGCATACACGGCGGTGCTCAAAGCACTTCAAGAGACGAGGACATAGACCGAACACCTTTATCATATGTTTGGCTTTGTAGTGGAGCTGTTCCTAGTATATTTGAAGCTTTTCCCAAACATCTACAGAAAAATGTTGCAATGAAAAGAAAATCTCCAGCTAAACGTATCCCTTCTGTGGTTCACAGTCGAGGTAAAGATAACTCTTCCTCATCAGCTTGCATCAACGAAACTACATTAACTGAACCTATTTCACGTGAATATGACACGCTAAAAAGAAAACTTAGTCACAGAGAAGCTCGGCTTGTTGCCTCAAGAAAGATAATCAAGGTACTACAACAGCCTAAAAATCATCTCAAAAAGAAAAACAGTGATTTAAAAAAGGTAATATCTGAGTTAAAAAGAAAGTGTCTGATTAGTGAAGAAAGCTTAAGTGTATTAGAAAATTGTGCTGGTGGTGTATCAGATTTTTAGAGGCAAGTTACAAAGCACATTGGGCAACCGACTGTTACTACTTATTCACCTGAATTGTGAAGTTTTGCTTTGACTCGAAACTTTTACTCTCTTCATGCTGGCAGCGGGCTCTTGGCAACCGGAGTATGGCGGCAGCGCGGTTGGCTGGCTTCACTCCCGACAGCGCTACACACCGCTCATGCCGCCTCCACCCTTATTCTACCTCCATGTCTACTACACAGTAATTTATAACTATCATATACTACACTATAATTAAAAAATTATGACTATCATTTACTATACAATAATTTATAACTGTCATCTACTACACTATAATTTATAACTATCAACTTGTTATAAATGTGAGTGTTTGCTCTTGACTTTGGCCCCCCAGCTTGGTATAAATGTGTAGGTATACCTGGTTTTATCATCATGGTGGGATACCATAACAACTTGTGTATGTGTATAGTCTTACCCAGTGTTTCTGCCTGGTGAATATATATTTCACAACTTGTATACTTACGTTGTTGTCCTTGATGCAAAACTTATACATGTTCTACTTAAGGCAGTGTATACTTAATATTTCCCCCGTCCAAAAGCTTTGAGGGATATAGCAGTGTCAGATAGGTTTTCTGTTCAATAAGTTTCCATAGACTGTATGAATTGATTTCAAATTTTTTTTGAAAGAATACTGTAGCAGGTTCTTGTCTAGAATAATGGAAACTGTTGCTAACATAAGTGATTTTAGAATTATAAAAAATTTTGACAGCCAGGGATGTGCTATTTCCAGTGGCTGTCATTTGCTTTGAGGTTAAGCCTTGATTTATATGTGTATGTGTGTATGTGTGTGTGTGTTATGTCTTAACAGAGGGGAGAGTCTTTGTAATGAAACTTCACATTTAGTTATAACACTTAGCTAGCCATCACTACACTGGGGAGTAGGGAACCTTAATGTGTTGCCTGTTAGTTTATTTTTGGAATTTAAGTCAAATGATTAGGTCCTAATTACAAGAGGTCCCATTTATATGAGGGCTTTATTATTATCTTAGGTCCTAAGGATGTTAATCTCCTTAGTACAGCATATTAGTTCATGGATTTTCTAGATGTTGATTATGCCTGGTTGTACAGTAGTTGTGTTAGGTCCTGGTTATGTTTGGTCACAATTATGCCAGGTTATAGTTATGTTAGAATATAATTATGCTAGGTTCTAGTTATGTTTGGTCATAATTTTGGTAGATTATGATCTTACAAGTTCGTATTCATGGTACAGTAATTTATATTCTGTCAAGACCAAGTGTTTGGCATAGCAGACTGGGTAGGTTGGGTACAGGTAGAACAGATGATGCTTTAATTATCATTACATAATGTTTTACAGGGTGGAACTTCCAACTTGTGTGAACTAAACTATGAGTCAAAATGTAAAGGGAGAGATAGTTTTGAAAAGCAAATACCTGTAGCAAAATTAGCCATGCAATGGTGAATTCATTGCAAAAACTGCTTTACTAATTTTATATTTACTTCATACTAGCAGGAATCATCTATCTCAAAATATGATGTTATTTTGCCCTCTGGATTTTTTTACTGAGTACAGTATTAGAATTTAGAAATTTCCTGGTGTGTTAAAAATATAAAAGGTGTAGCATTGCCAAGTATAATGCACTAAGAATTGTATACTTTATCTTGATTAGATTTTGGTTCCTAATGCACTAAGAATTGAATATGGCAAATTTTTTACCAAATTTAAATATCTGCAGTTGATAATACATGTACAGTATTGTTTACTTTCTACAGGTATCCCTAGATAGTAGTTTTTATCATTTTGGTAAAATAGTTTTGTTTTTTTATGGATCAACAATTTACTGTTGGAAGTTAATGGGAGGGTTTTATCATGTATACAACATTTTACAGTGATTGAAGACCTTGTATACAGGAGGGTGTATGTATATGTGCTCATGATTCTGGCAAGATTGTATTATAGCAGGGCAGGGCAGGGCAGGGCAGGTAAGATAAAGAATTCAACACCATTCACTGATGAGTTAGAATTAGAATACTCAGTAATTGTAGTTATGAATTACTAATAGAAGTGAAAACATTACCATATAGTACAACCTTAAATAGGGGAAGTGGGTAAAGGGAATAGGGAATGTGAACAAAATATGTAGTGTACTATGATTATAGGGAGGCCAGGAGGCCCTTCTATTGTGGCGATCCCCAAGGATGGGAACTGTATGGGAGGGAGTTTCATATATAGTACTGTAAAATGTGGGTGTCATACTTCATGACTCTAGATGATCCCCAAAATGCCTTTTAAACAAACTTAAATTCATGTGTGGAATGCAGCTAGTTCTTCAGGAATAATTGACAATTATTGCAATTTCAGTTAAATAGTAAGACATACAAGACTTGTATAGATTTTTTAAAGACATTTATATATATAAACTCTAAACTCTATTGATCCTATGTTTGTGGGAGTTGAAGATACTGTACTTCTTTTGAAAATTGGCATGGTAATTTAGTTTGGTCTCTCCTTGTTTTATGTCTCTCAGGAGTATTTTAAACATGTTGTGCATAAGAGTTATGACCCACCTGACCTACAACAAGGAGGTGGTGCAACTCTCATGTAAAGAATACTGGAATGGTGTTAATAGATACTCATGATATCCACAAAGTTGATAACAAGGGTTAAAAAAAATGGTAACTATATCATTTGTGACCTCATTTGCTTAATTTTTCCATAGTTGGATTTTATTATCACTTGTAACCCCAAAAAATTTCCTGTCTTCCTAAAATACTTAAATTGGAATATTATTAGAAAAACCTTTGACAAGTGATCTGTAAGATTATAGTGCATTATAGAAGAAAGACTGAAGGGAAACCAGGTAGTGAAGGTCACATTATTATTTATATACTGTACTGCAATTGATCAGAGGATTACCTCAAGAGAATGCCACAATTGTTTTTGTTTGTTTGTTACCTTAAGATGACATTATTGGATGGTTAGAACCAGCCTTGATGGTGTAAATTTGGGGAAGGAAACACTTTTGTTTGTCATTGTTTGATTGGTGATGCTGTGCCATGAAGCTGAGGAAGCAGGAGTTTTTGATGCCTTACCACCACTTATCTCTCATATCAAACACTTAATCCAAATGCTTATGGGAATCTCCCACAGGAATATCATTTTCATCTTTACTCACTTTCTTAATGGACTTAGGTGTTCATGTGGAGGGATTTTTGCTTCAGTGTACTGTATTTAATAGTACTGTACTGTTTTCTATAGTTTGTAAAGTATATCTATTTTTAATGGTTTAATCATTAAGTGGTGGTCTTATAAATACAACCAGTTCTTGTTCTCTTGTAGAAGGCTTTTAACTCTTTCTAACATTTGTGTAGGTTTATCTCTCTATCCCAATTAGATTGGGAGGTAAAGAAAAGGTGTAAAATATTAATATAAGATGGCAGTGGTCTGCTAGCCTTAACTTGCCACTATTTATAGTCAAGAACGACACCAATGATTTTTACAGTGAATATGTAATAGTAGAAAAATATTAGTTAACTTTTTAACTCCTCCCTCATTGCATGCTCTATTAATTCCACTTATCTTGTACTATTGCTGTAATACATAAATATGCCAGCTGGACAATGGAGTGTCATGAGGAAGGGTTAAGTTTAAGTGGACAAGGCAACACATGATGTAGTTCTTGAGTAGAGGTTGCCAGAGTATCCTAGCTGGTGGTGTTAACTTATGTTGTGTCATTTGTCACTAGTGTCCCAGCTGTACTGTTGGCTTCCCCATAAAGGCATATAAAAAAAATATTTGGAAGCTTGTGTGGCTAACTTCCATGGAAGCAGGTCAACAGCATCTATAATGTTTAATATTACAACACTAAGATGACAGATGTACCATATACAGTGCTTCCTTTTGAACAAACAGGTGACAATTATTGACAAATTCAGTTCCTGACCAATTAATTACTGCAGTAACTCTAAATCATAAACACCAGTGTTATTTCTCACACCTGCAGATTTACACTGATTGGCATATACAGTACAGTAGAGATCTTACAAAATTATATTTCATAAATACCTCCGCAGAATATATTGTTACAGCACTTGTTTTAGTGACTGATTGAAGTCTGGCACTGTTTATTTTGTCCACTGTACCATGGCTACTGTGCCCCAGGGATACTGTGTCCCATGGCTACTGTGTCCCATGTTTACTGTGTCCCATGGCTAGTGTACCATGTTTACTGTGTCCCATGGCTAGTGTACCATGTTTACTGTGTCCCATGGCTACTGTACCATGTTTACTGTGTCCCATGGCTACTGTACTTGCACTGTGGCCACTCTGCATCATGGCCATTGTACCATGACCATTCTGCACCATGACCACTCTGCATCATGGCTAATCTGCATCATGGCCACTGTACCATGACCACTCTGCACCATGGCCACAGTACCATGACCACTCTGCACCATGGCTAATCTACATCATGGCCACTGTACCATGACCACTATGCACCATGGCTAATCTGCATCATGGCTATTTTTTATCATGGCCACTCTGTGCCATTGCCACTCTGTACTTTGGCCACTGTGCTAGGGCCACTCTGTGCCATTGCCACTCAGCACTATGCAGTCACTGCAGCATGACTTCAGTGCACCATGGCCTCTCCATAATGGCCTGATGGTGATTGGAGGTATACTGAAAGCTCTGAGAGGTTAGTTTGATCTTATGCCTGGGGTTCTCTCTCTGCTAAATAAAATCATCTGGTGTTAGCTAAATGAAATAATAAAAGTGGCATCCCCATAGTGAAGGGGTTAATGGTGTTGTGTGCACTGAGGTCATCAGTCTGTCATGTCAAAGCCTCAGACTAAACTTGGCTTCTCATCCACTGTGTGTAACCCCCCCCCCCTACACACACACACACACACACACACGCTAGAAATAAGAAAATAATAATTTATGGTCAAAGGTGATTTTATGATCTGCTGAGAACTAAGAGTAATTTGCCATCCTGGGAGGAGGAGAATGCGAACTGTACTAACTCATGTGCCATGATTATGTACTTAAGGCTTTCCTTTATAGGAAGTCACATGTTTCAGTAAGGGTCCTCCACAATTTTTTTTTTATTAAGAATTTTTGGTAATGGCCATAACAGTGAATATAGAAAGTGGCTTAACAGTAATATAGAAAATTTAGCGATCATTTTGATGATGACAGTTTATGGATACCTTTATGGATACCTTATCATAGGTCAGCAGCACTCATTTAGTTACCCAAGTTATTAGACAGTCAGTCTACTGATTATTATGTGTATGAAAAAAAAAAGAGAGGAGTTTTGTTGTATGAACATTTTCTATAGCCTAAGGTTCTTTATAACCTTCACGTACTTTGTAATGTAGATTTGTTGTTCATTGTCTTAAGAAGTAGTAGGTAAAAGTGAATGTACTTATAAATATTATACTAAGTAGTCTCAGTTAGAAAGTACTGAGTGTATCATGTGCTGACTGGGTGGAGACATACAGACACCCTCGCTCCCCTCTCGTCATGCTATATCAGTGAAAAACTATAAGAGAGGTAGAGTGGCTGATGCCTAGCTGACACAGTGAGCACGGGGATACCTGAATGTCCTGCCTTGGTACGCACACTATGTAGTATAGTTAGATTCTAAGACACCCGTAGGCAAGTCTTAGGTTGGTAGTATTGTCGAGATCCTAATACTGTAGTTATAATTTATTATGGGGCAGAAAGTTACAGTGACAAGTGTTAAGTATAAATCTAAAAGTCGATTGTTTATGGCTGTAGAGTGACTGAATATAGATTGGGTTGAATGAAATTGATAATTACTGTATACTGACTTTGACCATCATGTTCTGTGAGCATGACTAAAGTGAGGTGAATGTTTTTGAAAATTTTATGCCACTCGGGTTGATTGAATGAATGTGTTGGTTGTTATAACATCTTATTATGCTTGTTTAAGTTAGACTGTAGCATTGATTAAGTATGGTTGTGGGAATTGTAAAGGACAATTCTCGGGGTAGGTAGAGTATGGATAGATTTGGTTGGATGTACCTTTGACATTGATTAGAGTGTTATTGGTTAAGTGCCTGTGTAGTATTAAGTGTGACTGTCATATCAGTAGGTCATTTGTATTACAGTACCGCATAGGTTTGGTTAGATATGAGTAATTTGGTTGATTGTGACTGTCAAATTGTTCAAGTGTAATAGTGCAGTTATGAATTATTAGGATTGGTCATGTGTTACTGTACAGTTTGTTTGAGTTGAGTACAATTGGTTGTGTGATACTGACATTTATGTACTGTAGAGTAGTACGTTGAATTACCAGACAGGATTGTCCATGAATTATTTTTCTTCTGAATTACCACCAGAGTTGTAACACTAGAGTGATTATTGTGTAACAAGCTGGCTCAGTGTTGCATGAGAAGTTACATTACATTATTTCAGGATTTGTAGTTGTTCAGGTTAGTGGTGCACACCTATCAAACATTTTTATTTATTTTTATTTTTTTGAAAAATCATGCTTTGTTATAGATGTTTTATAGAATCAAAAACATATCCTTGCTAAAATAACATATAAATAAAGAAAGTGTATGGAAACAAATAGAAAACTGGCAGAATATGTCTGTGTTTGCCTTATATAGTATCCATATTTTCACGGTCTTCCAAAATTGTTGTGGCAAGTTCTGTAATTCATTATTTTTGCACAACAGCAAATACTTTGTGTGAGTAATGTAAGAATACTTTGTTTAATAGCTGTGAATCATTTAACTGAACATCTGGAAGTCTTGAAACGTGACAGAGGTGAGTACTGTAACATAACTTGAGTCTTTGTCAAGCATCTGCCCTTTTCAGTTAGATTATACTGTGCAAGTTTTTTTGTATAGGGAGGGAAGGAGGGGTGTACTGCTTCGGTAGAATCAATGTTTTTCCATTGCAGTATTTCTGTTGCAGACCATTACTGTACAGGTACAGTATATGCAATAATCAGGCTGGTAAAGTGACGTACTACTGTTGTGTGATGAGGAATGGTTGATTGTGGCTGTTGAGTGTGAACTGTTTGGTTGAGTAATACTTGATGGCTTTCTCTTTCTTGGCTCTATGAAATATTTTCATTGTATATTTTGATGATGATTGTGAAGGTATTGGCCTGGTAATGTTGCAGTGTTGTAAATTTACTCAGTTGTGTTGCATCACTTCAACCAAGTTGAGATGTAGTGGGTGACATCTTGGATAGATCAAAAGCCAGTAATGTCATTTGTCCAAAAGCCTGTGTATTGTTTTACCTGTAGTCATAGACTAACTCCAGCTTCATTCCTGCTTTACATCTGCATAAAGCAGAAGAGAAGAGAGTCATTTATTCACTCGTGTTGCCATCGTTGAAAGTATATGAATAGCTTATGGTTATCATGTTTTGTGAACATTAAATGAATGTAACATCTTGGCTTGTTGATGCCTCTATGAATGTTGATTATAAATAGATATTGAAAGTGAAGTGTCCTGTGTTGGAAGAAGCAGGAGAATGTTAGTCTGTGGCTCATTAAAAAAACTTTGATAATTAGTAAACATGAATCATATGATATACAGTACATATAACTGATCAGGTGTCATTGTAAGCCCATTTATATAGGGACAAGATTTCCCACCTTGAAGACAATTTTGTTGCCCCTCTTGTATGTACTTAACAGTCATCATGCAGTAGTTACATTCCTAAGCTTTGTGAATTCTTATATAAAGTCCGTTTTATTACTGTAAAAGAAAGTTCTGACCACTATTATGTCGAACAACCATTTGTTCCTTTGAATTCTGGAGCAGTCATATGTTAAGTCTCCTATCATTTATGATGTACTAAGTGTCAGAGGAATTATTTTTGGACAGTCAGGACATGGTAACAGCAGTAGTGTCTCACACTCACCTCTGCTCCCATCATCCTGCTGGCTAACAAGCCCATCATTAATCAACAAAGGTTAGAAAAAGCTTTCCCTTCATTGTAAATTTGTTACGAAAAATTTGTCTTTTGCTCCGTACTATATTAATGTTCTTTGTTGTTTATTTTCTCACTGCTATTTAAGAATTGCTCGTCTAGCTTTGTATTTTATTTAATGTGGTAGTTGGCCACCATGTTGCCGTGGCGGTGGTTGTGTATTAGTGTAGTATTATCAGAGTTACACGTCGTCCACATAATGTGCTTCAGCTAGTGAGTTGATCATTATTGTAAGATGTTTGTCTCATACATGACTATATCTTTTGCTTCTTTATCTTATTCATGGTTGTCTGGTCTACAATGTGGATGATAAGATTACAGGTGAAACATTATTGTAGACTGGCTTAAACTTTGAGAGGATCATAATTTTGTTTCCTTATTGTTCTCTGCAATGTTTGCTTTTAAACTTGTCAGTGTGTTGCATATAATATTTCTATCTAAAATTGATTGGAGTAACCATAGAAAATTTCTTGAATAATTTTTGTATGGTGTGGAGGAAGTATGTCCATGTTGTGAGAGAAGTTTACTAGGTGAGGAACATATTGTGTCACTAGTTACTACTGAACTAGGGTAGGCAACACAGCTGAAGGAGTAGACTAGTAAAGGACCTTTGGTAGATGTTGCAGTGTAGCTCATATATTTTGGTTAATAAATATCAGTATATTTAACTTCTCATTTTTTTTATCCTCTGGGTAGTGTGTGTGATAGAAAACAGGAAATTTGCTATCAGTATAGAAAATGCAAAATTCTGCCAAAGAAAATAAGATTTTGTGTTTTTATAGTCTATGGCTATTTGGAATATTTTTCAAGGATATATAATATGAAAAATAATAAGAACATTATTTATTCAGTAGAAATTAGTTGTACAGGCTTCAATGGGGAACCATTATAAATTACTGTAACTTGTTCCAATAGTTTATGATTAATGCATCTTCCACTGCCATATTACCTATACTGTAGACTTAATATAGAATATGAAATGAACTATTTGGCTCTCTTCATGATACCATTCAATTCATACCAATTATTCTACACAAGTATTGGACAGAAGTTTCTTAAATACCAAAAAAATTTTTATGGTAAACATGGAATAATTTCAACATTATTTTTACTAATGAAATACCTTATATCATATACAGTTGTACCCCGCTTTACGCGGTTTCACTTAACGCGATTTCTCATATACGCGGTGCCTCGCCAGAACCGAACTTTCACTTAACACGGTTCATCTACCCATATACGCGCAGAGTGTCCGGCTCGAGACGTTTATTTTTAGATTCGCCCCACCCGCCACCCGCTCCCGCCTGCTGCCTGCCTCGCCTCTCCCTCCTCCTCCTCCTCCTCCTCCTCCCTCCCTCCCCTCCCGCCTCCCTCCGCCTGGGCAAGCCGCGCTGTAAGGTTGCGCAGTGTGTGTCTGTGTTGCGTTATCACTGACGTCATATGACATATCGGACTGTGATTGGCCATGCATCCCTACCCCCCTCTGCTGCTAGCTGTAATTGGTTTGAAGTAATATGACGTGTCCACCCGGGGAGGGAGAGAGGGAGGAAAGAGGACGCTGCCGCGCTAGTTTCATCCCTCCAGGTCACCCCGTGTATACATGCATCCATTGTTTTGTCAAATGGCTTCCGCTGGACCACCACCGCCACCAGAGAGAAACCTTTCCTTACCTGGACCCAGCCGCCCTAAGCCCAAGAAGACACGCCGTGCCCTAAGCTACGAAGTGAAATACCAGATCATTCAAGATTTGGAGAAAGGAACACGTCAAGCTGATCTCGCGTGCCAGCATGGCGTCAACGAATCTACGATTCGTACTACAGTATTAAGAAGGATGCATCCAAGATTAAAGAACACATGAAAATCACAAAGTCTGCAGGTGCTTCAATGATCAAGTATTGCCAGAACAAGGTGCTGGTAAAGGTGGAAAATTTGCTGGTGAGTTACTTGATTCGTCAGGCAAGACGGAACATGGCGGTCGACACGCTCAATGCAGGAGTACGCACGTGAACTTTACACAGCAGTGTCACGTAAGCTGGGAATTGCAGAGCCCAAACCCTTCAATGCTTCCTCTGGTTGGCTGCATAGGTTTAAGAAGAGGAACAAGATCACCAACATCAACATTGATGGTGAGGAAGCGAGTGCTGACCGTGTGGCGGCTAGAGATTTTCCTCCGTTCTTACGTGAGATTATGGAGGAAGGACAGTACACTGACGACCAGGTGTTTAACATGGACGAATCTGGTCTTTTCTGGAAAAAGCTACCTTCCAAGACCTTCGTTGTCCAGTCTGCCAGCAAGGTAAGGGGTCGGAAGTTGCAGAAGGAACGCATCACCGTCCTCTTTACCACCAATGCCTCCGGTACCTGTAAACCAAAGTTATCGGTGATTCACACAGCCCGCAAGCCACACGCCTACAAGAATATGGACATGAACAAGCTTAATGTCCACTGGCTAACCGCACGTAAGGCGTGGATGTTCTCTTCTCTGTCCCTCTTCTGGTTTGACGACTGTTTTGTTCCCGACGTGAAGAAATTCTGCGAGCAACAGAATGTTCCATTCAACATTTTGTTGCTCCTTGACAACGCACCTGGACACTCGCCCCTACTTATGGATCGTCACCCCAACGTAAAAGTGGTCTTCCTTCCTCCCAACACTACGTCATTAATCCAGCCCATGGACCAGGAGTTGATCTGCAATGTGAAAGCTGCATACTCTGCAAAGAAGTTCAAGCTCCTGAACGACTCTACCAACACCAAGGATGAGTTGCGTAAGCTGGATGACACCGACAGCGAGAGTAAAAGCGACGAGGACAAGGAACAAGAGGTGGCGACTCAAGAAGTTCTCGTCAAACAGTTTTGGAAGAAGTTTAACGTCAAACAAGCTGTAGACTTCTTGGTGGAGGCATGGGATCAGCTGTCTATTGCTACGATTCGTCACGCATGGAGACATGTGTTGCATGGCATACCAGCTGAGAGGAGTCAACCTGTGACTGGTGAGGTTCAGACTGTTGCAGTAGTAGTGGACCTTGCCAGAGAAGCTGCGCACAATATTACAGCTGAAGGCTTCTCCGAGACCACCAACGAAGACATCCTGGATGTGATCAGAGATCCTGAAGTGACTGCCGACGAGATGTTGGAAGATGATCACGTCAGTGAAGAGGAAGAAGGTGCGTCATTCTCCGAAGAACACAAGTTAAGTCATAGTGATATTAAGGGTGCCATGGAGTGTGCAGAGAAAATGAAGTCCTTCCTTTCCCGCGACAATGACCGCTATGAAGTCTTCCATACCCGGCTGGTGCAGGCTATGGAGCCGTACATCAAGGTGTATCAAGACAACATTAACACTAGCCGTCAAAAAAGCATTACCGAGTTCTTCTCCAGCAACCCACCACAGCCAGCCAGAGCCAGTGATAGTGACAGTGAAAGTGACTTTGAGGGATTTGTTAGGGAAGCCCTGACAACTGTAACTGATAGTGATGGTGATGCACCTAGTAATGGTGATTCACCTGAGGGCCAGTAATCTGCCCTCTGCCTCGGAACCAGCCTCCATCCCCGTATGCCGACCCATCTCTTCTTCTAAAGTAAGTGTTCCACCTAACTTTTAGTTTTCCTAACCTAACCTTTATTTTTCCTAACTTAACCTTTATTTTTCCTAACCTAACCTCTTCTATATTACTTGTTTGTTCATACCATCATAAAGTTAAGATAAAATTTTTACTACAACATAGTTGTGTGTCGTCAAAAAGTGGAGTTTGGGGGTCGGGCCAGTCTCTATTGGAATTAATCCCATATGGTTCTGTTGTTCACTTAACGCGGTTTTCACTTAACGCGGTACCCTGTGGGTTCAATTGACCGCGTAAAGCGGGGTACTACTGTATAGTGTTCTGTATACCACATTGTGGTAGTGTGCCACAAGCATCCTTGAACCTCTTATAAAAATTAGCTTTTATATCCATGCGACATATAATTCTAACTTTACAAAACTGGCATGGTATTTACAAAGCTGATAAATTTCACTATATTTATCCCATATAGTATTCATATTTGAATGTTATACATGTGAAATGCAATGAAATTATTGCAACTTATAAAAACTTCTATATACAGTGGTCCCTCGGTTAACGAGCACAATCCGTTCCAGCATGTTGCTCGTTAACCGAAAAACTCGTTAACCGAAACCATTGTTTCAATGGGTTTTTGGGTAATTGGTTCCAGCTCACCGAAAATTCCCTAAATTCAACAAAAAAGGTAGAAAAGTACACTTACTTTGAGGTGTGTATGTAGAAGGCTCCTTGGATGATGATGATGATGGGAATTAGAATGGGGGTGGAGGAGAAGGAAGAAGAGAAGGCATTGGGGTGGAAGAGAAGTCACCCCATGGTGCCATTTCACCCATAAAATTTTAGTTCTCTTGGTGTAATTCAAGATTATTTTCTGTAAATCAACACTGCACTGCATTATATATTGTCAATATGTAAAATAAATTTCAAAATGACCAATAATTTGCTTGGAAACACAGAAAAAAGCGTTTAGGTTAAAAGCGTCTCAAGCAAGATGTTACCTCCACTGAAAAGATAGAGAGACTAACTCCTGTTTGCTGTGTTAAGAGGCTGGATGGCGCGCATGAAACTAGTTTCCTTACCTTCAATTATGTTCAATAATTGTTAAAATTACAAAACAATTTAATATTAAACTTTTAAAATTATTGAATAGTATAAACTAATTGATATTTACTAAAATAGTAAGGAATTTAAGCCCTATAACTGATTACTGTATTGGTGGACTAATACTACAGCTGGTGGACCGCCAAATGCAAGCAAAAACATGTTGAGGTCGGCTCGTAAAAAACTTGTTAATCGAGGGATTGCTCGTTTACCGAAGTTAAGAATCTTATAGAAGGTAACTCGTTAACCGAAATCTCGTTAACCGAGGCGCTCGTTAACCGAGGGATCACTGTACATGAATAGTCGAGACATTGTCAGACCTGTACAGGTTACAACTCTGTCGTGTTTATTATTTGACGTGTGCATATCATTTAATTAATTTTCAATACAAGTTCCACCAGTTAAAATTCATGTGACATATGAACATTATCATTTAATAAATTTTCTGTTGAATGGGAGAATAATTGTGTTTAAACAATATAATGTACAATTTTCTAAGTTACAACTCTGTCATATGTCCTTTTCTGTGATGTTTATTTTTGTTGTAATTTTCTGGAGTGTTGAGGTTATTATCTTGTGTGTGAGGTACAGTGAGAAAACTGTCTGACTTGTTCAGGTTCGGTAGGTTACTGTAGTTGTTCTCTCGAGTGTTTACATTGTCTTCTTCAGTGTGTGGAGTACTGTGGCCACTTCCTGAAGTATGTAGGTTGTGTTGGTCAGTGTGTGGATGAGTGAAAGCATTTTCCAGAGCTTTTAAAGTCTGTTGTTCAGTCTTTATTGTTTTGTGAACTTTTTCTGAATTACTGAGATTTGATTGTTCAATGAGTGGGTTGTGAACGTGACGTCCATCAGTATCACAGATTGTGACGACATGGTGGCCCACCACTGAGCTACAGTTATGGTTGGGGTGAGGAGTGTGAATGTGTGGTTGATGTGACAGTGTTGGTTGGGTCATGAAAGGTAAAGTTGGAAGGGTGGGGGATGGGTGTGGGTGAGGACCCACCAGG